GGGTGAGTGTGAGGGTGAGGAGGGTGGGGAGGGTGGAGAGGGTGTGCATGGTGGGTGGGTTGGATGGGTAGTTGTGCAGTATGTTTTGGTTGTATGATTTATGATGAGGTACCTGTATTCTGGTGTGGGGATCAGAGGGGAGAGACGATGTTTTTATGGGGCTTTCCTTGGCTTTCGCATGGGCGGGGATTGGGGGGTGTAGAGGCTTGGGTAATATATGTGAGGAGGATTGGTACGTGTTACGAATTACAGTAATATACTTCTATATAAGGGATGCTGGGGATACTGGGTGAGTGGTGCTGGGGTTTTTTGGCGAGTACGAAGGAGGGGAGGTTATAGGCAGGTAGGTAGGTACCTAAGTATCTTTCACTGTGGGCACTGGGTATTATGGGGTTGTGGTAGTTCCTTCTATTTATTCTCTATTTTCTATGTGGAAGAGTTGGATGAATGTGGATTGTATAAATAGTTGTACGGAACTGTCCCGAAGGACGAAAGACGTTTATGATTCTAATTTATATATACCCTCTAAGTCTATGTTTCGTACTCCCACCACAGTAACCCTCTTTATACGATTTTGGCGCGGATTCTTTGGTACACTAACGAAGATATCAGTATCTCGTCATTCTATCTAATCTACAACATTCCTATAGGCGGAAGGAGGAGGGCAAGGCAATACTTACGACCCAATAAGGTGTTACAGTCGTGAACAAATAGTAGACGCACTTTCCATCCGCGTTAAGGCCCCCAGCGCACTACGTAGACACAATTGTTAGACTTGCTATATAAGCGAGCATGAGGAGTGGATGAGGTACGTACTGTCCATCCTCCTGGGCTCGAAACCGCCCACTCGTAACTGGTTTTTGCGCATGGGTCTATCTATGCGCCTGGAGGGAGACCACCGGTGGTGGGAAGTGGTGTGGGCGGCCCGATTTGTCAGGCTGGGAGAGAGTGTAGGGACGTACTGGAGAGACGTGATAAAGAATGATTGGGGTTTGGCGATGAGCGGGTCTTTTATAAGTATGGGGGATTTCGAGTTCTTGAGAGACGGGGATTATGGGGTGGCCTTTGCTTTGCTTTAGTGATGGGGGATAGGGTTATTTTCGGCCAGCTGCTGTAATATATTAGAAACTGGGTAGGAAGGCTGTGCTGTTGCTTCTAAGTAGTACGAGTACGAGTTATATAAGGTTAACGTCACCAATTAAAGGGTATTTATACATGCGTTTCATCGCTTAAAGACGGGATGACGTTGATTGTTTAAAGTACTTTTCTTTCGCGTGTGTTCTGAATAGAAGTTTGTATTGTCGCTAATGTTATCGAGCCTACGTTCATACTGTACACATATATATATATATCAAACTACTGACAAGAGCGTCTCCGTAATTATCTGCCATCTAATTCAAAGTACTTATCCATCTTAGGCCTAACTTCCAATGCACTAGAACAATCATCAGTATATATTCTTCTCCTGTAAGACCACAACAAATTTCTATCCACCTCAAAAAGATATAGAAAGGAGAGGACAGCAGCACTTACGCTGTAGTATGGAGGAATTTTAGTAAATTCATAGAACACGCATTCACCATCTGCATTAAGGCCTCCTGTGCACTAAGGAGCTAACGTTAGATTTTCTATGAAGGGAAGAGAGGTGTGAATATGCTTACACTCCATCCACCACCTGTGTCCTTGGTCTCGTAATAGTAACCGCCAGGTTGGCATGGATGTACTACTCGTCCTGGTTGAAGACGGGCTTCGAGTTGGGAAGAGGTGGTGGTTGGGATGGCGGCTGCGAGGGTTGCGCATGCGGCGAGGGTGTAGAGGAACTTCATGTTGATGAATTGATTCTTGGAGTCTTTGAGCAAGTTGAGGAGGGGAAAGTGTGTGAGATTAAAGTAAGGATGGGGATGGAGTGGTTATATAGGCATTTGCTTGATTGCGTGACTGCAATAACATTTCTGGGTGGGTCTCGTGGCGGGCTTGGTTTACTTTTAAAGTTATACTGTTACATGACTTGTGATCCGATATACTTCGAAGCACAACTCACTTTATACTGGGTACCTGGCGAAATGGTTGTAACTTTCCATTGGTAGAGATCAGTGTAAAAACCACTAAACAAGTTACAATATTTCGCCTGGGACGAAGTATTTTACTTCGTCCAGAAGTACAGGACTTGGGAGTGTGTCGTTGGCATGGATTGGCTGGTCTTGGTTTCAGATGGCATTGTCCGTGGGTTCTGATCTAAAGTAAGCGGTGGGGTAGCTTGAATTGAGCTTGGCTCATGTATATACAGTACGGAATCAGTGGTACTTCGAAGTATACCGGCCCGACCCCATTTTGTAGCCAAAGTGGCGGATCTAGCAAAATAGGTACTCGGAAAACAATAACTGATAAAGACCTGGGTCAGTATGCGGTTTATGTGATGGTTTTCAACTTTAATCGTTTACCCTTTACGTAAAGGCCAAGACGTATGTTTAACCAAGTCGGCATGAATAGCCGAATTACTTAAGGTTGAAAGTACGAGAAAATACATGGAATATCAAACATAAACAAAGAACTTACAAAAACACAGGGGTACGGGTAGATCTTCACAAATGATGATGCCACGTTCTGAAAACTTAATCAGTACTTGTTTTCGCTTTTAAGTTGGTATAAAAAAATATAGTATAGTGGCTGTTGCAGCTCTATGAATATCCACAGCACTTGTGATGACTCCAAGAACCCACCGCTCGTGTACGCTGTAATTGGAAGACAGCATGTTTATCAAATTATGAAACAATTAAGAGCAAATTTAGACCAGGATCCGTCAGGACTTCAGCGCAACAAGACACTTTGTTTATTAAGAATGAAAAGTTTGTAGAGGTAACTTACCGATATCATGACACAGGGCGAGAAATACGAATAAGGACCAAAGTCTTGGCAATCTAAGCAATCACAAATTACTTCGTCCAGTGGGAGCTGTGAACTTCAGTCTTGGAAGGTGTATATGCATTAGGAATAAGCAGTTTGCAGACGTCCTTCGGGACACATAGTACAATGGACATCAAATCAATCAATCAAATCAGCTTCTCTCTCGTCCCAGGCGAAATAACCGTAAGTTTTTCAGGGGCTTTAACCCCATCGCTAACCTTATTAACCACCTTGGAAAACTTACAATTATTTCGCGAAGGACGAAGTGAGAGGTACATCGAGTAGTGTAGGAAATCAAACTTATTAAGTATGCTTATTTTTGGGTGGAGTAGTAGGTGGATAGGGCAGAAGCCAGACATATTAATTGTTAGGCCAATTAGAGTTCAGCTTTCTACGAGTCCCTTGCTAAACTAGTTTGGCTACGATCTTCACGTAGGAAAAGAACGCCTTCCTCATGGACTTCCAGCTACTTAGAGCCTACGAATAAATTCCGTACTATTTACCTGTAACTCTACCTAGAAAGTAGCGTACTTAATAAGTTTGATTTCTTACGGTAATAGAAGTACTCCGTACAAGTATAAGCGCCAATTCCATCTCCCAAAAAAGTCGGATAAGTGTTCCCAAGTGAGGTGCGGGACTACCGCCGAGTGGCATTTCTTGTACTGGTTTCATATTCTCGCTTGTGTTTTGGGGCCTCACGTGTTTTATACATCACACATGCGATTTGAACATCGCTCTTTCAAGCTACGATACTCAGGTCGAACTTGTTGGAAATATACTCTGACTAGTGAGGCTGAAGGGTAGACATGGTGGGAGTGAGTAGTGGTTCTTAATTGAAGGAGACGTTAATTGAATGAGATTAGTTATGGTAGAGATGGTTGGAAAGTTTGACTTAATGTTTGGATTCATTGTTATTCATATTTTCTTTGTCGTATCCTCGCTTTTCTTGGGTTATTGTATTTCATCAAATAGCCAATTTAATGGTACATTATTCATTACATTAGCTGTTGCGACCCCCTCGCTTAGGGAGAAGTTTAATGCTAGATTAAAGCCCTTCATGGCTCTCTATCTCATGCACCGCCCGGCGTAACTCTTGACCAGGATTAAGCACCCTCGCGTAGAATTATTATAACACATGATTTCAGGTCAATTCTGACACTTTGGCAATGCTAAGCTATCAGTTACACTAATTTTTAGTAAGGAGATATCGAGTCACAGGACTAGAACGTGACTATATATATTTCTAATAAGACTAGAATTTTGATCAGAGGAAACCATTCGTACTTCTCTTGTAGTATAAATAATCATATACCAATTCTCAATTAGTATTAGGTAAAGAGCTTAGCTCAAGTTGTTATTTGTATTATAAGACGTTACAAATCTTAGTACAAAGCTATATGTTATTTTTCTACCTAGGATAGCACGTCATTGACCCACTTTCGAGTGACGCCGGGCGGTGCAGGAGATATACTATATTTTCGAACAGCAATTTTTACTTGTCTATTGTCGTGCTTACAGTCCCCCTTGTGGATATTTCATATTACTTTCAGTCCTTACGCCATCCTCGACCCCCATATGTTATAGCTATTTCTTCAAGAAGTCTCAAGTTCATTTCTCTCTAGCTTAATTTCTCTTTAGGAGGCAATGAAGATTAAGGGAATTATCAAATAAAAACAATCGAGGGCTTCCCTCTTTCCTTTGGAAGGAGAAATGTTCTGGAGAATACTTTCCTCTTTGTGTACCTTACATAAAGCAAGGAGGATGGACAGCTCAGAGTCGCACCCTGCAAGCTAACAATACATCCTGACCCCATTTTTTTAACGCAACCCGCGAATCAGAGACTCGGATCTAAGCATTATAGACTTTTCTTATAAAGAGGGTGGACAGCTCGGGTTCCCGACTATTCGCTGTCCACCCCATCAAATCTATCATCCTACTGTAGTTATTTGGACTAACACAGATAATTCTCAAAAGCCCTAGCACAGTCAAGTTGATTGTGGTGGAATATTTATTATTAGAATATTTGAAGTGAAAAAAAAATCTGCCACTTTTGTTCGCCTCGCCCATCTTTCACCCCATCAAACTTTGAATGCGGGTAAACCTCGGCCTTCGGTCCAGATCCAAACTCTCTAGGCCGTTTTGAACATCTCATTTCTTCGTCATTGTATTATCGGAAGTGAGACTTTGAACAGTAATATTGCCATCGTCTTGGACTCAACTCTGCGATGCAGGATTTGGTCCTCTGTCTCTTACTTTCAAGGGAATGCAAACGGCGGAGGATGATCGCTATATCCTCCCATGTACCTAAGCTGCATGGAACGTCTCAATGGTAAGCTGATGGCATCACCCCAGAGGATCAAATCCTAGCAAGAGCTTCGCCTGCGTTTTCTGTAATTCGGATATTTTGGCAACAATGACACTTCACATTCAGTTCCTCAGCTAAAGGTACGCATTTATGATTGCCGTGTACCTTAAACTGCGGGAGTTGAGGCTCCTCAGAACATATCCTTAGACTTTCCGTGGCCGAGATGTGCTGATTTCTGCATTTGTATTTAACCAAGCCTTCCATGGCGGGGTGCATATCAAATTACAAGGTACTATAGGGTTAGCCAAAACACCCATTTGTGCTGAACGCCTCAAGGAAATCCCATCCCACTCCATGCGTGTTCCCTGTCATCAATGGAGCCATTCTCTGTCGCTGGCACATGTATAGCCTTGGTTGGGACCATAACCAAGGTGACTACCGTGCTTGCTGGCTTTATTCACGACGTTCGTTCTGCTAGGAATGAACTTGATGCCGTTTCACGAGAACTGACCTCTATCAAGACATGTTTGGAACAACTCGCAAGAGATTTTGACAGTCCGGAACAGAAGCGCTGCCCAGAACCAGTCCAGAAACAGATCAATTGAATCACTATAGATTGTTCGATTGTCGTCGTCGATACTGAGAAAACTCTAACCAAAAACGATGGCACAAGCTTGATAAAGGCAGCTCGATGGGCTACAGGAGGCAAAGAAGAAATCGGAAAGTTAAGGTTGAACCTTGAGGCACATAAGTGTAACTTAGATATTACTTTGAATTTCTGGGAGTTGTAAGTGCTATCTATTATTTAGCTTTTTGCAAATAATACTGTTAATGAAGAAGTAGTCAGATAGGTGCCAAATCTGAATATTAGGAAATGGTATTATTCCTGTGATAGCATTATACTCGATTGCAAAGAAACTCTGTCAGTTTACCGAGTTGGGATCTGGTGGTCTATGTGGACGCAGCGTGTACAATTCGAGTAGTTGAGCTGAGTAGTCGCACCTGCCCAAACTCAACTCGAGTAGTTAGACTGGCTATTCAACTCAACTAGCCAAGGTATCAAGTAACTTGAGTAGTAATTGAGTAGTAAATCTTACGGATTACGCCGGCCCGAGTCTCCGTAGCGAGCCCGGGCGCCCGGCGGTACTCTGGACGATCGGTCCGCCTACTCGGACTTAGCCGTTTATTTAGCCTAGGATCTTCAAGGAGACAGTTGAGGCAATAACAAGCTTAAAGAGCTAGGGATTTTGCGTCGAATCCGTACGGAGAATTTGACAAGGAGAATTAGTTTCCAAGGAGAATTATTTTGTATTTTAGTTACTATTTATAGGACTACACAAAGAATTGAATACAAACCACCTACTCATATTTAGCTCAACTTACCTCGTCGCCTCGAGTACTACTTGAATTTAATTGAGTAGTCAATCAATTTGTGTATACGCTGCTGGGGACGTCATGGGTGTTGACTTTCAACCGAAATCAATTAGATGTGGAAGAGGGAACGAAGTGGGAACCTGGCTAAAAGTTTCCAAATTGTCGCGTATTTATATACATGTTCAATTGCATGCGAAGTTCATCTAATAATTCTCATCTAAATACCTTGTAAAACACATAGTCGAATCATGTTTTGCGCCAGTGCCAGTTCTGCCCTTTAGCAAACCACTCGGAGTCTTGCACTTCGACCGACTACAGAACTATCAAGCGCTGAACCAAAATATCCACGTAATAGAAAGCAGAAATTTCACAACTCCAGCAACCCATAGCATCGTCTGAACTCCTTCCGTTGCCCTCGAGACCCAACCACCAATAATAGCTCCAAGCAGTGTCAAGCTAAAAGCAGCGATTCTCCTATTCCTCTTGAGATTCTTGGTAGGCGGGTCGAAGAGTTTTGGATCCGAGAAGAGATCACAGAGTAAACTTGTAATCACCACAGTGGGAATCTCACCCACGTCCAGCACTCGGCTCGTCACGATTTGCCCGGCGGATTGGAAACTCAACAGTGCAATAGGGGCAATCTGGTTCCATTGTATTACTGAAGTCTTCGCTACAATGGATCCGTTGATGAGACCTCCTTCTATGAGACCGCTGGCAATGAGTATACAGACGCTCTGTAGCAGGAATGAGCTGGCGATCGTCCCACGTCGACGAGGACCGAAGGCGCTATTGAACCGGGAGAAAGCAAAACATCCGATGATGAAGAAGCCGATAGAGGAGAGAGAGAAAGCCCAGCCGAATGGTCTGGTATTCTGGCCAGATGCACCAAGAGCAACGAAGATAGTGTTTCCTACTATGCGTTAGTTGTTGTTGATAACAGCTAGTTTCTAAGGAGTTCCCCCGAACTCCCAGAAATCGGATTTCTACGTACCGGTTTGCATAGAGACGAAAGTGCTGAATGCTAAGGAAATTGTCAGCTTGAAATTGCACTTTTATTTTGCAACAACATACCATTGTAAAGCGTGCTATCCACAAAGCCGGTTACCAAGCAACACGCCAGCAGCAAAAGGTCGACATGTTTTGTGTTGATTTGAACGCCGAAGTATGTTTGGAGAAAGGATAATCTAGATGCCTTCTGCGGCAAATCATTTGAGGATTCCTCTCCCTGTTCCATGGGAGTGGACAAAGGCGGTAAGCTCGTCGAATCGCCTCTTTTCTCGAGGTCTGCCATTTTACAAATCGAGTGATCTGGAGGGGGCTTGAAATGGAAGGATGTCAACAATCCTGAAGAGACATGATGCTATTTTACGTGATTGTGAGGAGGGGAGGACAGAAAAGTTGTTCATATGAGTGTCATCCAGTTTTCATGTTCAAGGATTCCGGTCCTCCAGCGCCACTTCCGTTGCTATCGCGCACACGGCCTTTGTCATTGGTCGCTTCCAACTGACAGCTGGCTAGTCCAGTCAGATGTCCTCAACTCGCCATGCCTACGGCAGTAACCTTACCGGTGACGAGGAAAGGAAAAAGGAATAGGCTCAACAGTGGGCGTGTAACATTTCTTTGAGAATCAAATGCGGTCAAACAGCACAAGAACATTGGCACCAGGGAACTTGATTGCTACCCCACGAATTATTCGTGGAAACCCACCTGCCCCGAACGTTTGCTTGAGGTAAAAAGGTTCCGGGTACTCCCGCGCGCCAAGTTGGAGCCATTGTGGAATAGACCTTGGCTCTGCTTGGCCATAATTGGCTCGCTTGGCGCTTATGCTCCATTGGCTATTGTGAGTTTGTTGATCATGGTAGCGTCAATATTTACTGCGGGTTAAATCATATCTGACAGTCTTCAGTACATTCTGTCTCCGTGCTTATCATGTGGCAGTCTGGCAAATTCTGGAGGAGAAAACCACGAGAGAGAAGATCGCTCAAAACTGGCTTCGCTATTGCGGAACTTGAATCAAACCGGGTTTTCTTGCTTGATGCCGTGCCTCGATCCACTTAACAGTTCCGGGGGAGGAACTTGGCATAGCCAGGCCTACTGTAACTTCGTAGTGGCGAATATCAAAATTACTACAGGTGCAGAAGCATTTGGTTTTCGAGACCTGCTGGTCATATCATTGTTATTGAACCAATCTTTTTCCCTGTGAGCCTTTTGTATTGTATGATCTTTTGAACTTCTACTTTGAAGAGACAAATGAGAAGGGTTCATCCCACTTTTGTTGCATCTACGAACGAGCTTCTCATATAACTTAATTGGTTGGTAGGGCACTTCCAAAGCAACAATCGTTAGGCACATATATGTTGTATGACAATTCCAAGATTGGTACTACGATATTTTCATATCTGGAGATGGCGTTCTGTACACCCAAGCCCCCCTACAGTAAGCGAGACGCCCTGCCGCAAAAGTCTTGGGCGCCTGGGAAGGCAACCAGGTCCCCAGAGAGCCGATTTCGCACTGAAATTCTACGCCTTCCAGGTCGGGAAACTGGCTAAGTGTGTTACTTAATCGAGTAATATGACGAAAGTGGAACCGGTGTTGTGCATATTTCCTTGCTGGTGTATACGCTCCCGCAGCAAGGATTCAGCGGGTTGATATCTCCCATACAAAACCCCACAATCGAAGTCTAGAATGAATAATGTCTCTATCCACTTCTGGGAGGGTCCATATGGACCATGAAATAGGGTATCTCGTACATCGTAATTGATCTTCAACGGCATTGCCAAAGTCCAAGCCGGAAACTATTCCGCGATCCCGTTTGTGCTGAGTTGGTACCGATAACGACAAAAAGGTCGAGTTGAGAGGACTTGTTACGGACTGACTTCGGGGTGGTAGTTTCATGCCCATAATCGGACTCTAGAGTGACATCGGCACTTTCTTCAAGGGGCTTCTAGATACAAAGGATCGAGATAAACAGTTGTACTCAGTAGAATCGCGCATATGGTTGCTCTTGAGGCTGGGCACGTAGGATTGTTGACCACGGAAAAATGCATCTACTTGCTCAGGAGGCTGGGCAACCATCATTCCGAATATAATTAACGCATATGATTGCCCTTCAGGCTGGGCAAATAATTTTATCCTAACGGGCCGATTTTGATTCAGAAATGAAACGGGAGCTTTGGAAATACAGACTAGGTGGCGCGTATTACGCCGTATCTAAGATGTGCTTCTTCAATTCGCTTAAGCTTAAAAGAGTTGGTCGAAACGTCAATAACATTTGTATACAGTCGCTAAATACTTCCTGGGGTATATGGATTGAAGGGTGCGGAAAAAATACGGATGAATGATTATAGAAGAATCCAATTGCTCTTTATATCTTGTTACTTTTGCAAAAGACTCTTACGTGTCCGGAAGATACAAATCTAAATTTTAAGCCATACACTCTTATTAGCTTTCTACTTTTGTGACGCCTCAGATACTGTATCATTACTCTCAATATACCGGTATTTGTTCATCTACCCTCCTTATTTCTTCTAATTGCTACTCCCTGGCTAAACATTCGAGAAAAGTATCGGAGTGAGATGATGGCCACTACGACGTTACCACTTGCAAGCCGAGGCCGTTACATTCTTACTGAACACGAGCTGCTACGCTTTCGGGCGTGACTGCTTCTGATATATCTTGGTGTCTTGGTATGATGTATTTGTTCTTGGTATCTGCAAGAACAATCACACAATCATGGAGAGAGTCGCACTTATCTTTTCTGGCTAATATCTATGGCACATTGTACTTTGAATTAAACGGGAAACCACACACCCCCTATATCGCTTGCTTTGAGATTATTCTATGATCTCCTGATGCATATAACTCACAGACTGCCCATCACTCTTTGCTATATCACAATATCTACCACCGTTATCCTTAGCCATAATCAACTCTTCTATAAGCACTTCTTGTTTCACCTACAACCACAAAAATGGAGACCCTTACTTATGCACCGCAGCCTCTTATTCTGGACGAGGTAATTCCTCACAGTGATCCTGCCTGCACACAGTTCCTCGAACTAACGACGGTGAAGAAGTTGCGTAACAATGAGAAACTCGAGCTCAACATCCCCATGGTCCAGACGACTGAAGTCACTCCCAAAACCGTAACCATCGATGTGCCAGCCGAATCAGATAGCATCCTCGTCTCCTTCAATAGAGTTGCCTCACCCACTGTCGCAGTCCCCAAGTACATCTCAGCAGCGACCAAACTCAAGAAGATGGTCGAAGAAACCGACGAGTTGATTGTATGCCCTGGTGTTTACGACGGACTTTCGGCACGTATTGCACTACGTGTGGGTTTCAGTGCTATGTATATGGTAAGCTTCGTGTTCAATCTGCCAACTTCCTTTGTCGACTGCCTTCTAACAATGTGGGGGTGATAGACAGGTGCAGGAACAACAGCCTCTCGTCTTGGTCAGCCGGATCTGGGAATTGCCCATCTCCACGACATGAAAGAGCACGCTGAAATGATCGCCAACCTGGATCCATATGGACCACCTCTTATTGCTGACATGGACACTGGCTATGGAGGTTTGTCATTGTTCTTCTTTCCCAATTGACACCAGCAACTGACTCTCAACAGGCCCAATCATGGTCGCCAACTCCGTCAAATCATACATCCGAGCCGGCGTAGCAGGTTTCCACATCGAGGACCAAGTCATGAACAAACGCTGCGGTCATCTCAAAGGCAAAAAGGTCGTCCCAGAGGAAGAGTTCTACTCTCGCATACGCGCAGCCAAATCAGCGAAAGATGCCATGAACTCCGACATTGTATTGATCGCACGTACCGATGCTCTCCAAATGCTCGGCTACGATGAGTGTGTGAAGCGTCTCAAAGTCGCACGCTCACTCGGTGCCGACGTGGGACTTCTTGAAGGCTACACATCCAAAGAAATGGCAGCACAGGCAGTGAAAGACCTCGCGCCGTGGCCGCTCTTGTTGAATATGGTTGAGAATGGAGCAACACCTATCATTACCACAGCGGAGGCCAAGGAAATGGGATTTCGAATCATGATTTTCTCTTTTGCGTCGATTGCTCCAGCTTATGTTGCCATTCAGACGACGTTGCAGAGACTCAAGACGGAGGGAGTCGTTGGCACGGCCAAAGACTTGACTCCTCTGAAGCTCTTTGACATGTGCGGACTGAAAGACTCGATCGTTATTGACACCGAGGCAGGGGGTTTGTCTTTCGCCAACGGTATCTAGTCTTTCCTTACAGTCATTTTGGTGGAAATTTTCCCTTGCATTGGAGGTTGATTGTTTTGTTGATGCCATCATTTCCTTATACCATTTGTACTTGTTGACAGCGACTGCTGCAACCAGCTTTCTTCTTTAGAAGCTACGAGTTTTTCTATATATAGTCCAATGAAACAGTTCAATGAATTATCATGGTAAATCGATGTTGGAAAAATGCTAGGGTGGTGGCAGAATGGAGTAGTAGAAGTTAGCAAGACTGCTTTTTGACACATTTGAGAACAGCTTTCTACTGGTCTCCTCGGCGGAAAACTCCGACCACGAGATGCTCTCGCTTTTCGCAATCCACTACCCATAACAAGAGGGATTCTGGCGAGTAGGAAGTTAGGAACCTCTAGTTCACCCTGTCTTACACTGCTCCGTATCTCATTTGCCCGGTGTTTTTGTTAACATCATTTTACCACGGTAACCCAAGAAAACCACTCCTCTTGACCCCCTCGTTAGGAGCAGGTCCATCGACTCCCGCAGTGCGGTGAATCCAGAAACCATCTCCCCCCCCCNACTACTCCCATCCACCTCGCCTAATCCACCGCCTCAAAACTTTAGTAGTCGATACAATTACATGCAATGCAGGCGGTGTATCTTTTTCAATACTACCAAGGCAAGCGATCGTGTTACTCTCGCATATACTTCTGAACGAGAATCTCCGTTTTCCGGCCATCCCCACTTATTTATTACGCAGGTGATATTTAATACAACCGGCTCCATCGTCTCTGGAACTAACGCTACAATTTCAGCTTGACCTGGCTCTAGCTCCTAGCACTTACAAGATTCAAACACAACCCCAAGCTCAAATTCCTGTGTAACGTTAATCACGACGTTCGTTAATGGACATCGTGGGGAACAGTATCCTAGCCTTGGTACTAAAGTACGTACTACTGCGGGAGCTGCGAGGTGTTTGTCTGTAAAGCTATGCACATACCCTCTAGCTACTGGGACGGAAAATACTTCCGAATTTACACCACTGCGACTCTGTTTGTAAGACAGATCTCTTTCTCGACAAATGTTAAAAAGATACAGAAGAAAAAAACAAGTAATTTTTAATCCAACTTCCTTTTCTCTAAATCCACTTAACTAATTCTTAGGAAGTCTACCAACTTTTCTATTTATAGGTGCGTGAGTACTACCACCACCTACCGTAATCCAACATCCCTTATAACTATACCTAGACAAGCACTAGCGACACGCCACCCGATTATTTTCGTCACATGGCCATTTGCGGTAGAATAACCCTGCATGGGCCGAAGGATTTCATTCATTCATAACTTGAAATAACTAGACACGAAGGTTTAACAAAGGATAGAGTGCTAGTAGTAATATTCCCGTCACGAACGAGATATAGCCTTAGAGTGCCCACTGCCTAAAAGCTAGTGTAAGGAGAGGAGAGGGATATCATACTATAGCAAGAGGAGAGAGGTGAAAAAGACACAACTCACGCTTTGTTTGTTCAAGGTAGTCCTGACATCAAGATATAAAAACAAGTATCTTACTATATGATTTCGGGGGAACAAATTAAATCACAAAGTTCTTTTCGTTCCTATAGAGATAGATGTCTTACGCAGAAATGTAATTTTACTTGTTAACCCGCTATAGTAGTTCTTCCTAAGAAATCTCTTGTAAAAAAGAAAAGAAATTGTTCTATTAGTTCAACCTTCAAAATAGAGGCTTACTATACTTTCCATAGAATCGTGTAGTGTTGGGAATACAGTACAGTAATACAAGGTAGGTAGGTGCGAGTACCTCACCTAGTGGTACTACCATCACTACCTATGTATAAAAAGTCCTCAGACCACCTACCTACAGTATTACGCGAGAAAGGGAGGGTTCGGTGTATCATCTCCACCTCCCTCACTTCACTTCATAAACCAAGCCAAGTAAATCCACCATTCCATCACCATCCGAATCCACCACAAAAATCATTCATCTTACAATCTTACAAAAAACCCCCAAGATTCCAAGCGGAGAAACAATTACAAACCTCCCAGAACGTCAACCACTCGCAGACCATGATAATCCCTTACAAATATAAAACCAAGGACAACACAATCCCTCATCCAAATCAACAATAAACCGCAAAGAGATACCCCTTATCACCACCGTACCCACTAGCAAACAATTACAGCCCTCCCATCACCAGCAATAATCACAAGACCTTACAACGAGGCCCGTAACCTCATAACACCACTACAAAACCACCTCGCTAACCAAACTCAACCATTCATTGCCCCTACCATCTCGTCTAGGAACATAAAATATTCCCTCAGAAAGACCAAAGTTACCTAATCCCAAGAATTGAATGCCACATCTCCTCCTACGATATACCTCTTGAGGACCCATTTCAAATCTCAATTTCAATTTATTGATATTTAAGAAAGAAAAAAAGTGAACGAATGAACGAAAAAACAATCCGGGTATCTAGCTTGTACAAATGATCCATGGGTCCAGTCCCGTATCCCCTTCCCCATTTCTATGTGGCGTGAAGTCTGTAAATAAGGTACTGCTTAAAATTCTTGCTTTTCCCCTCCCAACCCCGTCCTTCCATTGCTAGCCAACCCTTGAATCACCATTTCGCTGAAATACGCCCATCTTTCCGCACTCACCACCACTCGTATATTTTAAATTTCAATCAAAAGACCGTTCCATCAGACAGAATGGCGATGGGTGGACATTGGGTATTTGGTCGTAAAATCTCGGCCATTTCTCTTCCGCCCTGTGGGTTTGTTAGCACGAAATTGCAGGGCAGGGAAAATAAAAGATCTTAATCCTGCTTACCTTCCAGCTACCAGCCTCCAACATTTGTGGCAGGGACAACCGATCCGGACCAGCAAGTTCCAGCGTATTGTTCACCTCTTCCAACAACAAATCCAGGAAACCGACCGTAACTGCTCTCCACTCAACGATGACATCATCATCTGGTTTGAACATAGGAACGACCTCCAATATCTTCTTTCCATTCTCCTCGCTATTGATGCGAAAGTTGTCCAATCCTCTAGTTTCGTCTTCCTTTTTAAGCGACAAGACACCAGTATCAATGAACAGTCCTCCGTTGCGGTATTCGGGGAGGCCAGTCATCAGTTCGGCGCCTGCAAAGTACATGTTCATTATCTTTGTCATGGGTTGCATAAGTGAGTAGCAGAGCCATTGTGTTAATTTGTGGAAAGGTACAATGGTCTCCCATGGTGCTGTAGTTCCTGTTGCAGGCATAGATGATAATGGCCAAGCGTCACCAAGAGCTGTCCCATCAATTGAAGTTCGAGCAGCTGGCCAGATTGGTGCAAGTCCATCCATCAAAACGCTCCATAGGGTTGGAAGTAGAACAACGGGAATAGATGAGGCCTGGGTAGAGGGGTGAGAAATTAGGTAATCTATGAATGTTAGCAAGTTTTATGAAAATCAGGAGTTGTTCAAACATACCCATCATATTTCCAGGTCTTCCATCAGCACCGAAATATGTAGGGTTCATCATTGCTTGTGATAATCGTTGTAAAAGTTCTGTTCGTCCTTCCAGTCCTGCAATCGGATTTTCTTCCGTGACTTGAAGTCCTTCTCGCATATCTTCAACTGTTAAATTCTTTAGACCTTCCCCATCAACTTGGTGCGGTTGGCTTTGGTTGCTGCTGAAAAGACCACGTTTGAACATTTCCAAACTCGCAATTGCCAGTCCCTCACTTCTTCGAAATATCTTTCCACTCTCGCTCTTGTATTGCCAAGTTGTTCCAGCACCCGCATCTAATAAAACCGAGACAAGGAAAAGATCGAGGTATCGGCGGCACCGTTCGGCGAGGTCGATTTCGGCGGACCAGCTATCGGAGAGAGCTTGAATACGATCCTTCCCTCCAACATTGAAGTGTTGCCACCTGCCATGAGGGGGAATGCTTGCATAGTCTGGAGCAAAGTCGCGCTATTGTGCATCATGTCAGTATAATTAGAGGGTTGGAATAAAATAAGCGGGGTCATGCCGCTCACCTTCATAATAGAAACGACGAATTTGGTAGTGTCCTTGAAACTATCCATGTGAACATCAAAGTGATTCAACTCATTGTTCTTCGCCCTTTCCAACATGACCGAGCAGCGTTCTCGTACGGCGCCAATGCTTCGGAGGTAACCTGCGGGGTCGATATTTGGATCGGGTGCCTTGGGCATGGCGACCTTTGGGATTGTGGGTGGGATCGGTGGGGAGGACATCTTCCCGTAGCCTGGTGTATTTGGTGATTTTAATGAGGTTTGTGAATGTGAGGAGAGAGAAGTGAGATCGCCGAGAGTTGAGGAATTCTTGCGCATGCTCGAGCTGCTGGAACCGGACTTGTCTTTGCGGGAGAAGAGCCCCATTTTGAATGATTGGGTAGGGATCGGACGGCGGCTAGAAAGCAACGGTATGCTCCGTACTCCGCAGTCCAGGCCAGGAGTGGTGTAGGTGTAGGTGTATGCGTGTAAAGTGGGCTGACGTCTAGTTGGACCAATTTTGGTAGTGGGTAGTCCGTTGTCGAGTCAAACCGTGGATGGCGGGGTTCGAGTTCTTATCGTGACCTTCGATAAGATGTGGACCGCGGCGTCGTAACAGTCGCACGATTTCCAATTGTGTTGCACAACGGTAATGTGCAAGTCTCGACTTCGATTTTGTGGACTTTTACCAGCAGACGAGACAACGAAAGGATGGGACGGTGATGGAGGTTATAATTGTCACCGACGGAACTGTGCGGCGTCTAGTTGGCTGGGTGGAACCTGAATGTCCAATTGGATCGTTCAATTCAGATGATGCGAGTCTGGATCGGCGCTGGAGCTCACGAGGAGGAGGTATAGGTGTAGTGGAGGAGGTGGAGGTGGAGGTTGAGAGTTGGGGTTGTTGTAATTGAGTGAGTTGAGGTCAAAGGAGTTGAGGTCATAAAACAGACTCGAGGTGGAGCACTCAGTATCCAAGGTGAAGGTGAGGAAGCCCTCGGCGGAGGAAGGAACGAGGGGTATATGAAGTGAAGGTGAAGGACTTCTGCGAGTTGGAAGGCACCTTGGAAGGCGTGGGATGGAGGGTTGAGAGGATTTCCAATTGGGTAGTATGTGGGAGGGGATGGGGATAGGTGCGAGGAGTGAAAGAGGATGCAGCCTTTTCCTGGGCAGGCAATCTATGTCAGCACTTGGAAGTTGCCCAGGTGGATGGAGGGGTTGACGAAGATCTACGGAGTCAACGAAGGAAGGAGCGACTGCGCAGCGTGGGACAAGAAGTATGGAGGTGAGGATGAGCGTGAGGGCGAACGTGAGGACGAGGAATTGACGAAGGAAGCAATTGGAAAGGCATCAGGATCTAGGCGCAGACATATTTTCTTTTGCTACAACTACAAAGTCATTCTGGGTAGGGCAATAATGTGACATAGCGTAGGCAGCTATTCCGGAGTATTCTGGTCTTGTCGACAGCTCTTTCCGATTCTTCCGTCACCATCCCCGTCTGGCTTTACTGACGGTACCAGTGTTGGTACCACTCCCAAGCCAAACCACCATTCCCACCTCCTTGGCCCCAGGACGGTACGAAGTGCTCAAGAAGTACTTCGTACATCCCACGCGGTGGACATCCAGTTCCAGTAGTCTCGACTCCACTTTCTACCAGCAAAGCTACCCACGATCTATTTCTACTTCGTACTTCGTCCCAGACGAAATAACTGTAACCGGACAGGATGGCTAAGGTTGGTACAATAACAGGGTAATCCCCCCCTGAAGAAGTCCCAATCATTTCGCCTGGGACGAAGTATTGTGTGGACGGTCTGCCCCCCTCCAAAACCAACACCGAGTTCTTCATGCCGGTGGTCGAGATCCATATGATACATCGTACACGGCTCTCTACTGGTCTTTCCCCGCGAGGGGGGTGCTCCAAGGCGCCAAACCCCATTGGGGCGGTTCCCCAGCACACATCACCAATTCGGCGGAGAAACAGAGGAAGCACATTCGTTAATTGGTGGATACCCGCCCACAGCAATACTACCACGGCCAGGCTGACGAGCGATGTTACGTCTCCTCGTACCTTCATCGGCCACATTGCTTCTCCTGGGTGCTGTGGCAGTGATATTGGATAGGGTAAAAGAAAACGGCCAGCCCGGAATGCAGGTACCGGTCCATACTTTGAGCTGCACATCCCATTGAGGCCACCAGAGCCACCCAAGACCAACTGGGAGATAAAAACGGGTCTCCCGAGCGGATCCGACACGGACCTCAACGTGTCTGGGCGGCCTGGTGATTCGTGAAATCATTTTTCCTTCAACACTCAATCCTGGCCTATTGGGTCCGAGAAAAGAGGGGATGAATGATGCGAGCCTGCGGCAATCCTCTGGTTGGGGCCGTTCTGGTAATGGAGCGCCGGCTCACAAATGTGTCCAAATAATCCTCTCCTTTCTCCAAGGAAATCCACGGCGATGAAATATCTCCACGATCTCATGTTAGGAGGTGTATGGTTTGAGAATAATGTCATGTCAAAATATGAGATGAAACCTGTTTTCCTCTCACACGCCAGACAGTATTTCGATGCGGGTTTCTCCCTCTCCCACAACCACTCAAATTCAGACATTTAAAACATCGAACGGTGACTTTTAACTTTCTTTCCCAATACCGGTACTGCAGCAGCCGCTTCAGGGGCACTACCCACGAAGCAAAGTGCAAAGAAACAACCAAGCTCCTCAAGTTGGGTCTCCACTTGGTACAGTACCATCCGAAGGACACGGTGCTTTTAACGGCCCATTTCCAGTCGATCGTACGCCATCCGCCAAAACGGAGTCATAGCAAGATTTCAGGTATAGAAGGATTATCAGGATCGCCATCCCCAAAGTTCCAGTGAATGGTAATCAGAGCCAGGTCAAATATCGGTCATAGCGAGCCTCAGAGGACGGACGCAACTGTATTTCCACCTCCGTTGTGTGAGTATTGAGCGTGTCAAACTACAAAACTGAAATTCATGATGCGATAGTAGAAGGAAGATTGCAATTTGCGGAGACAAAGACAACGAGGATGGCGCAGTAAGGAAAACTTGTTCCAACAAAACTGTTTGTTGCAATTTTAGCTTCGAAGGATGAAAGAAATAGGATCGCACAAAATCCCATGGAAAGTGGAAAGAGTTTTTCCATCAGAACGTAACGTTATACTACTGGCGTCGGTACCAACCAATGAAGGCAAAATCCCCATCCTGAATCGACGAGCTGGTGAGTTGACGCGTCAAAAGAGACAAAACAAGCTTCAATAGAGTATTGAAGAAAGGTTCGTACCGGTACCAACCCCGCTCTTTGCCGCGTCATAAGGTTCCAGGTTCTTTTCGCACTCGTTCAGGGCGAGAGATTATACGTATCGTACCCGTAGTCCCGCTACTGTTGGCGTGTTTGTTCTTGATATGAGGAGCTGATGTTTTGAGTGAAGAGTGGTAATTGACTTGTACTCGTACTTCGTAGAGTTATCCCTTTTTTCGTCTTCAATCCCCTCCAAGCCCAAAAACAGCTAGAGAGGAGCTGGAAGGCGCTTAGTAATGGCACGTTGGCCAATGATTAGCCGCGTATACGCCGCGCTTAGAATAGAGATGGCCAAACGGCTTCCCTGTGCAATCCTGACATGCGACCACCTACAATCACTGAAAAGGGGGGAGCACATGAATTTCTGGCTTATACTTCTACGATAACTAATGACTTATGACACTACCCCCACTCCTTAAATGCTCCGAGCTTGAGATACACACTATTCAATAATGGACGACCTAAATGGCCTAGATTGGTCTGCCACCCCCAGCGCAAATAGCAACAAGGCACCCCAAGGAACTGGGAACTACTACCCCTCCATACGCTCTTCACAGCCCGCTCAATTCCCTGGGCGTACAACGCCTCTTTCGAACCAAGCTTCCGGCCTGTCCAGACCGCCAGCTTCCTCTCCTTTTGCGCCTCCCAAATCAGCATCCCCAGATCTCTTCTCGAACCTGGTGTCCTTTGGCTCTTCGAAAGCAAACACCTTGACCCTCCAACAACAACATGAAAAGCTGCAGGCAGAAAAGAGGAAACAGGAGGAGGAGAAGAGGAGGCAATATGATGCTCAATTTGGGGGCTCACAGAATTGGGAGAGTTTAGGAAACAGAACGCAGAGTCCAGCACTTCAACCCACGATTGCATCGCAGAGCTCAGCTTCTGCTCCGAAACCCTTACCGACCACCTTTGCGAGATCGCTATCTCCAGCTGTCAACTCTGGAAATGTTGCAAATGGAGGGGACGACGATTTGTTTGCGGCTTTCAATCAAGATACCAAGGTTGACAATGCGAGTTTCTACCCTCCTCCATCATTACCGAATAGTGGGAAGAGTACACCAGGGTCTGGGACGGAAAAGATGGTCGATTTGAGCCAACCACAAGCTTGGGAACAGCCATCAGCATCTCTTGGGGGGGCACAGTTTGGTGACGACGATGATCCATTTGGTTTGGGTACAATGAAGCCAGCGAACTCGGCGCCTGTACCAACCTTACAATCTGCGGATGATGATGATTTCTTGGGGGATTTAGGAAAACCTGTTAAGGAAATCAAACGGCGTAGTCCCGCGGTCCCATCAGGACCACCTACGCCATCACCCGAATCTGAGTCGGAAGACCCTTGGGATAAAGCGGTGGCCGAGCTTGTAGATATGGGATTTTCGGCCGAACAATCGCGAAGGGCTTTGACAGAGAGCGGATCCAGTGTCGATGTGCAAGCTGCTGTGGGTTGGATTTTGAACGATGCACACCGTCAAGCGAAGCAAAAACAGCAGAGCCGGGAACCAAGTAGGACCAGTACTCCAACAGACGGCGGAATGCGGGAGCCATCTAGAAATGGGGGCAGGAAGGAGCAAAAGCCATCTTGGATGCGGGAAGAAGAGTCGAGACCACGCCGAGAGGAAAGATCACCAAATGGAGAGGCCGATCTTTCAAAAACTGCTGCTGCTGTTGGCAGTAGTTTGTTCAAGACTGCTAATTCTTTATGGAAGACTTCACAAAAAAAAGTACAACAAGCAGTTACAGAATTTCAGCAGGAGTCAGATCCTAGTCAGCCAAAATGGATGAGGGACGCAGCAGAAAGAGAGCATGCTGAAAAGGTAGCAGCAGCCTCCGCTCGTAGCAGAAAGTCAAAGTCTACAGTTCCGGACGTGACAGATGAGGCATTGATGTTAGAATCTGGTTCTCGACCTGCACCCAAAAAGGGAAAAGCTCGCTACCCTGAGCCAATGTCTTCACGTGACCAGTCACCAGCTTTTGCAAAAAGGCCTACCTCTGAGCGGGTTCCATCCGCACCTCGGTGGCAACAATCTGCTCCATCTGATCCTCGTTCTCGCTTAACAAAACAGGCGATAGAAGAGCAATCCGAGCAAGCATATATAAGTCCTGCTCGAAGAAAGAAGACTCCACAGCCTGTTCGACAGCCAGAACCAGAGCCAGATCTTCTATTCGCTTCATCTAGTATTCCGTCAAAAACAAGCTCAGACGCGGGTTCTTCTCGCCCATCACCTCGTGTCACGCCTAAACCTTCAACCCCCATCCCAGTGCGGCCAAAAGCACCACCACGAAATATCCCATCTCTATCCCCTCACGCTTTAAACAGCTCCAATGAACACCGGTTAGCAGGAACTACACACTTCAAACGTGGCGATTATGCAGCTGCTCACCAATCGTACTCCGCATCTCTCCTATCGATTCCCTCCTCACATCCCATCGCCATCATCCTCCTTTGCAACCGTGCTCTTACTTCTCTGAAAACCGGGATCCCAAAATCAGCCGTATCAGACGCTGACACAGCGATTGAACTAATTGGACCATCGCGTGGGGACGGCGAGGCCATATCCCTAGGCACAGAGCAAAAAGACATGCGTGAGTTCTGGGGTAAAGCCCACATGCGAAAAGCCGAAGCCCTGGAGCAAATGGAGAAATGGCGTGAGGCAGGAGAAGTTTGGAAACTTTGCGTGGAATCTAATGTTGGAGCCGCAACCGCTATCCAAGGCCGTACCCGTTGCAAGAAAGCACTTGTTCCCAAACCTGTCGCTAAACCTGTCTCTCGTCCTCCACCTAAACCCAAATCTGCACTTTCGGACCTCTCATCTGCTTCTAAACCTGACTCCGCGGCGGTCTCTCGCCTTCGCGCTGCGAACATCGAGGCTGAGAAGGCGGATGATGAGAAATTTGCGTTGGCGGATAAGGTTGATGCTAGGATCTCGGTGTGGAGAGATGGAAAGAGAGATAATCTACGCGCTCTGCTGGGGAGTTTGCAGGATGTGATGTGGGAGGGCTCTGGATGGACAAAGGTTGGATTACATGAGCTTGTGCAGAATGGACGGGTGAAGATTTGGTATATGAAGGCTATTGGGAGGTGTCATCCTGATAAGGTATGTTTCATTTTCTTTTTCCTTCCTCTTTTTCTTCGAGCTTGTCACAACTCTTTGCGGAGGAGCAAGAAAAAAGTAGAGAGACAAATTTCAGAAAATATGCACTGATCCCTTGCATTGTAGTTACCCCAAGACGCCACGATGGAGACGAAAATGATCGCTGCGCTCGTCTTTGCTACCTTGAACGAGAGCTGGGATAAATTCAAGCAGCAGAATGGGATGTAATTACCTTTGTCTATGTCTTTTCCTTAATACACCCATTACATACATGTAGATAACCAATTGACCTTTTGATTTTTCTTCGTCTTCTTCTTTTTTCCATGACTGAACTGAGGGGGTTTCACTGAGGAATTACTGAACTGTGATTTTTATGTCATGGAATGGGTGGTTGGGATGGTGTTGGGAATGGGGATGGCTGTGTTGGTTGGTTAGTTGGTAGATGGTGTTACTATATCGTGTTTTCATGATTGATTGAAGAGGGGAGGAGACATGGAATTTAAATTTTTTTGGATTGGGTTTGATATAGATATAGATATAGATCCCTTTAATATACAGTACGTTTGGGTGTTATCACTACCGGACCGGTATTAGTATTACGAATAGAAAGAAATCGATAGCTACGGAGGTGGGTTTTTATGGATAGAGGAGAGGATATGGTACCTTACTTTGTAAGCTAAGTGATTTTCTTTCATTTTTATTGCGGTCCCTTTGCTTTTTTTTTGCTTTTTTTTTGCTTTTGGAGGGAGGTGTGGTGAGGTGAGGTGGGGTGGGGTTATAGTACTATACGCAAGTATGCAAGTACGTAAGTGGGGTTACTATTGGTAGGTAGGTTGTAGCTGTATCTACGGAGTAGTTGCTCACCTTATTAAGCTGGTCTAGTGAATTTGATGCTTGGTACTTGATTTACTTGTGTACTTGATTCACGCACGGAGTTGCTGCATGAAGAAAAAGGCGAGGGCAGAAGAGGGGAGGGGCAGGGGGGTGTATCACGTGGTTTATATATCTTTTTTCTGTGGGGAGGACGGGAGGTGGAGGGGAGGGATGGATGGGATGGTTGGGTGGTGAGTGGGTGGTAATGGGTTGTCGTGGATACGTGGTACGTGGGTAGGAGATTGTAGGATAGGGTATAGGGTGTTAGATATAAGAGGTAACTTGTATTTTTACTACTGAGTTTCCCTTATAGAGTGGTATTCGTAAATATATTATACGGTTCGTTGGGAGTTAGGAGTAGTTATTTCTCGTAAAGAAGTCTCTTTGGATGGTGGGGGCCTTTGGGGGTTATTTTGTAGAATGAGTTTGCTTGTGTGAGAGAGGGCGTGGGTTGTTAATTGGATTATTACAGTGCGGTGCGAAGATTAGCAATAGAGTAGTGGGTAATAGAGTAGGAGCAGCTGAGCGTGAGCGTGGGTTGAAGTTCGCTGGAGGGTTTGTGGGTGGAATCTTGAAAGTGTGTGGGAAGGAATAGTAGTGAGTGGTGTTTATTTTTAGTTTGCTTGGAGTGGAGTGGGAGGTGTGGATTTGATCTTGCTGATAACTTGATGGTGCGTGTTTGTTGGCTTACATGAGATTGTTGCTTGGTAAGGTGGCGAGGAGGATGAGGAGGATGATGGTAGGATGGAGGCTTTTGAGCGTTGTTGTTTATGTTCTTCTTTTTATATTTACGTTTATCCTGCTTAGTGCTTATGAGGGAGCAGGGGACACATATATAGGACCAGTGCCTAGGGTTTGCAGAGCCCCAGGTTACCACAACGCTCTTTCTATCTCTATTTCTAAAACAGAAACAAAAAGCTGGCTACAACAGTAGGGAGACAAATGATGGTGTACAAATGGGGATGGTGGCGGGTGAGGAAAAGAGCTAGCGCTTCCTACTCTCGGGCTGAAATATGAAGTTATTATGATTATTGCTCCCGCCGCTAGTAACGTCGGTCGATCATCCTCACGTGATATAAAAATATCGCCTTTGTGGAATTAGTAATATACTCTAGTCAAATGGATAAGAGGGGGCTTGTGGGTACTAGTTAAGCTGTTATTCATGAGTACTTGGTTGTTTTGATTCACTTCCTTTTTTACAAAGAGGAGATAGTAATCAGATCAATATGAATAGGTCGTTACTCATGGCTTTTTTGGTTCATTAGATTCACTTTCTTTTTCTTTTTTTCATAGGCACGGGATTTCGCTTAAATTGGGTTGAAATATTTGTTACTTGACACGTTTTTGGTTCATTTGATGCACATGCTCTCTTAGTATGTCAAAGTCGTGATTAGACGCATATGAATTGGTTGTTATTCATGGCGTTTTGGTTGATTCGATTCACATTCTCTTCCAGAGGGTGGAGATGGTGATCAGATCAATATATAGGTCGTTATTCATGGTTTTCTGCTTGATTTGATTCACAGCATCCATCAAGGGAAAAGGCATAAATACTTCCGCGAGGAGAGGGGAGTTCGTCTTTCTTAACAACAACACACTATCTTTTAAATATCACAAACTATTTAGAACAACACTTCAAGAAATCTACAATACCATCATTTGAATAAACCTACAAAAGTCTGCCTTCAAAACTCCGGAAACAAAAACACTTTTCTTCAAAATCCTTCAGCGCCGCACCTTGAACTGCTCACTTGGGTATAAATTTCGGGACTTCTTGACAGTAACGCTTGGGGAATTTGGCACATCATGTCTACCAGCAACAGTAGTTCAGTGCCCAGCGAATACAGCAAACAAGAAATTCGCGCCGTTATCATACACAGTATCTTCGATGAACAGACGGACTTTAGGCCCACTCCGGAAAATGTCAACTCTTGGGCTTCAAGGATGAAGAACATAAAGAAACATAAGAACGACTCACGGTCTGGGATGGATTATGACACTATGTTTGAAGCTATCGAGAAAGGTACGTCAGAGTACTGGTTTACGGCTTTTGGTGAGGATGATATACAGCGGCGGATACTTTTCATTGAAATATTGAGTGAAGACTGGCATGGGTTGAAGGCTTCCAAACGCCTCCCCAAAAACGAGGCAATCTACACCAAAAGTATGGGGGCATTACACAACTGTTTTGAGGCTGTTCGGGCTTATAAAACAAAGCTCAGTGCAGATGATCTAGGTGAACTCCTTACTTTGGCGAAAGACTCTTCCATCGCGAAAATTATCGAAACCTCTCAAGAAGCTGAAGAAGCTGAAGAGGCTTAGTCGATATCCAGGCTATTCTGGGCCAGTTTTGTCATCGCCTCAATCTCTGGTTCTCATCGTCTTATTTGGTTTTCCTTATTTTGATGCGTTGGATTTATTGCTGCTTTGTTATTTTTTTTGCGATCTTGGTGGTGTCGATCATGTTGTCATAGGGCTGGTGCGAGATTTTATTTCCTTTCCGTTGCTCTTCATTTAGCTTTGGTTCTATTTAAAGTTGACTTTATTAGATTTCATTTCTGGTTGGCGTTGATTTTTCACACCTTTTACGATGGCGAAGATACCCTTTACCCTCTGGGAAATCGAGGCCAGATGTGTACGAAAATATCTGACACCCGCCGCGGGCCGTCCCGGGGTACAAAACTATCCCCAGCGCGCATATTTTCGTACACCAACGGTGGGCGCAAAACCTTAAATATTATACTAAAGACGCAGTTCTCTATTTACTTGTTTACGCGTTTATATGTTTACTTATTTACAGGAAAGGGGGGGGGCGGTAATAGGGGTATAATAGAAGTAGAGACTTACAGGACAGCAAAGTAGGAAAGTACTTACAAGGAGGGACAGAGGGGGAGGGACAGAGGGGGAGGGACAGGTAGAAACGGCTAAGTACTTACAGGTAGGGAGGGAGAGGGAGAAGGACAGGTGAAAACGACCAAGTACTTACAGGTAGTTTATAGAGGCAAAGGGAGGGGGAAAGGCACTCTAATATAGACGGAAAGCTGACGGAAAGCTCGGGTTATACTAAAACTCTCTTAAAAGCTAATTATAGGCTGTGTCGGTTCCTAAAAGTATAACATTTTCTTCTAAAATGCCCTCTGTTTTCGCTTAGCAGGGGATAGTAAAGTATAAAATCCGAAAAGTGGAGACGCCCACATTATAGTACTTAAATCTCCGCTTTTAACTACCTAATTAGGCCTGTGTACGAAATTTTCGTACGTGTACGAGAATCTCTGCCACCGAGTTCCCAGAGGGTTATTAGACTTGCTGTTTTTTGTTTACGTTGGATTCATTTGGGTTTCCTCATGCTTGCGATTATTTTTTAGAATATTACCGCGTTGCTCTTTTGTACGATAGACTTTTAACAACATTATTTAGATTTTAGAAAAATAAAAATAAAACGCTGATTTTATGCCTTACTATAGAAGAAAGTGCATCGAAAAACAAGTGAACCCTCAATTTCTAGGTATCATCATTGTTGGTAAGACATAGGCTATAGCTATGTCAACTTTCATATGTTCTATTCTTACTATACTTTAGCTAAGAATTGAAGTTTGGAACCCCTATTACGATCACCATAAGCGAGCATCAACACTTTAACAGCTATTATACAGGACGGAGTCAGTACGTTTATCTCTTCATTTATTTCAACAACAGACCTTCGAACCTTTCCATGGGCTTTTTAGTGAACGCCCTGAAAACGGAGAGGTTTATTTCTAAGGAATGCCTTCTGGAACAAAGTGACGTTCTCCGCCACAGTTGCACAGCCACATATCTGTTCCCAGCTCACCAGAGGGAGAAACGCAATTCATTTAAACAGAACTCAGAAAACTGAATCATTTATTTGAATTTAAAATGGCTGCTTTCATATCTTTACCCAGAGCAGATAAACGGAGGCATTTCTGCACAGGATATTGGGCATTTTGAAACTATCTTTCAAATTGAAAACTTTGTTCAGCTTACTCAAGGCTTCCTTTTTACTAGAATTCACTTACGAAGTTTTCCGGTAAGTAATTGGTTGCAGACCGTGCTTTATTTTGTAGTTATTGTTTGGGGAGAGAGCGGATATGGTCCCATTTTGGACAATGCTTGCATCCGGTTGGAATTGGTGTGGCAGCATGTGGCAATTGTGGCGTAAATGGATGTTTCTTTCCTTTGTGGGTGGTGTAATCTTACTTGATGTGTGCAGTACTTAGTTCATTATACTTACCTGAAAGCAGAAACTATTGCCCTTCCTCTTTGGTTAGAATGCAGATTTCTTCAGTGGAAATATTCATGCAGGACTAACGTGAGTCGCCTTATTGACTGCTATTTTTACTGGGGGTTTGATGCGATTCATGCTTGAAGTATGGCTTAGCTTTCCTGTGAGCGTATGTTAACCAAATCCCCAATACCCTATGGTAGAAGTTATTTGCTTGCGTCTTGGAGTATCTTTCCCTTCTTGTCCCATTTAATAATACAATTCTTTGTAAAGTGACAGAAGAGCTCTACATGCGGAAGGTTTTGTTGTCCATTTTCTTTACGACGGGCAGATTTCATCGATGCGCTATGCTGGAAGCGGACTCCTTGATGAGCAAAATTACTCTGACAAAGACTTTCTTACGGATGTTTTAATGATAAAGAATAAGAATTGAGCATATCGGCTCACATCCAAGTTTTTCAATGTAGCTTTGACAAAACTCGCCTTTTCTTTTCACCTCTTTCATTTCTTTTCATTTGGCTCAGCAAGTACGAAATACTCGGTTACAATACTTTGATCTGAAGAAGTAAACAACTTATTTTGTCACCATGGCAGACAATGGCCCGCCGTCTCCAGGAAGCGATATCTTTCTGCGACAAGCTGCTGCTTTGAGCGCAGAAGAAGAATCCGACTCGGTTGCTATCTCTGATACTACTGCTGAAGTACCCAAACTCACCGCATCACAGCTCAACGATATGCCTTCAGATGACGGCCCAGAAAGAGCTGCTTGGTTTCAAGCCACAATGCCGGGACCACGCCTCATTATACCGACGCCCTTCTGGCTGGGTATCCGAGCAACGAGCAGCGAAGTCTTTTTATTACTAGCCGCCATTAGGCAACGGCTTGATAAAGAGGGCATTACAGAGATTGGAAAAGGAGAGGATCGAAGCACGAATGAAGCGTTCTACCAACTTGCTCGCCGAGTTAGGGCTCACGAATCCTTCAACGGACTTGTTGCCAAAGTTTTAGCAGAACTTCCTTTCTTCATCTCTGGTTACGACAACAACAATGAACCACCACTTGAGTGGAGAGTAGATTGGATTTCAAAGCTACTGGTGGAAACTGCGCTGCATTCAATGACACCGGCTCCAGAGAGATTGGCCGAGGGTAGGATGCTTTCTTTCAAAGGTTATGACGAAGAGGCTAATCAATCAGAAACGCCGCCTTCTATCTTAGCATTATTAAAGTCAAACAAAGATAAAGGGACGGAAAAGACTGCTACACCAGGGAGGGCCCAGAAATCCGCGCGTCCACAAGTTTCTGCTGGTAGTGGAAGAAAGACCACAACTTCAGCAGCTCCTAAACCTCCCCCCAAGGATAAACCTGTCAAACAAGCACCGGCAACATCGAGTTCTCGTAGATCAGTCGGCGGAAATACAGCATTTAAAATAGTGCAGAAATTCAAACTAGTTGTGATGTCCGAAGATCGCACCCACGAGGTCATTGATGATGAGATGTATGCCGAAGATTGCCTCGCACCCGATGGAAACAGTTATTCACTTAGAGCTATCCTAAGAGAATTCCAAAAGAAGTTGGACGAAGAATGGCCAGCATCGTATAGAGGGCCGTTGAAACTCGATCGCGGAAAATTCGGTTACGAAACAGGAACAACACGCAAAGCATTTAAGCCTATTCAGTCACAAGGGGACTTAGATATTGCGATAAACAGACTTTTTCAAACTCCCTCGGAAGTTCCTGATGAATGGACAGTTCAATTTACCTTTTACCCTGAGGATGCTGTCGAGAAGCGTAACCGAGAGGCAAGAGAGAAGGCCAAAGCTAGACTTGCTGGTAGTAAGAAGCCGGCTGCAAAGCCAGCTGCTACAAGTTCAAAAGGTAAAACTCCCGTCCTGTATAAAGTCGAGGTCCTCCCATTTTCTGATTCCGATATAGAGCCGTCCACAAAGATTCCACAACGGCCTGCCTCGCTTGGCAATAAAGATGCATCTTTAGAAGACAGTAACCGGGAGAAATCAAAAGCGAAGGATGCTGAGAAGGATTCGTACAAGACTCCAACTGGATCTACGTCAGGCCAGACTCCCGTCGGCTCTATCAAAGAGCCTAAGCCTGGAGTTGAGACTGAAACGAAAAGAGGCAAAATAAAAAAGGCGATGAACAAGATGGGAGAGAGATTGGGAGTCAAGAAAACCACTAAACCCACAGATACAACCGGTCCAGCAAAACCGGGCAATATAACTAAGCCACCTGTTCCTGATAGGAGCACAAAGCCAAATGTTCTCACAAAGAAGCAACCTGAGACTCCAGGATCCTCAAAACCGTCCTCAAAACCGCCATCACAGGCTCCTTCACGAGCGCCTGAGCAAAAGATTCCACAGGCGCCGTTGAAAGCTCCGTTGAGAGCTGAGGATGACACCATGATACCGCCTCCTACGTTTACCATAATAAGTAAGAAGACTTATATAAAAGGAGGCAACGCAGATTTGCCTATACCGGAGGTTCCTGATGAGGACCGAATTAACATAAGAGGAGGTGCCAGTGACGAGTCCGAGCTCTTGGAAGCTGGTTCTGAAGATAGCGAGAACGAGGCAGAGGTTAATTCTACAATTTCAGGGAAGGAATATTTGGCGAATCAGTATGTCTTCCTTTTCCGAACAACGCACTCTGATTTGAGCTAATGGTGTGATAAAAGGCTTCAACAGCTTGTAAACTCTGAAGAGTTGACGCATATGCAGAATATCAAAGACCCCTTTGCTGATCTCGCAAATTGGAGTGAGTGTTGTCGAATGTTCAAAATAGATCCTGATAACCAGAGTAATCTCTCGTTGGTTACGGTGAGAGGACTCAAGACTCGACTTTACCCTTACCAGATCTTTGGTACATACTGGCAAATGAAGAATTCTAGAGCTGTTGGTGGTGGAATCGTTGCTGATGAAATGGGGCTCGGAAAGACACTTTCGTATCTGGCATACATCACTGTTGAGAGGCAACTTTCCCTGCTTTATCTCCGACTGGAAGCGGCTCGCAGCCTAGAGAGCAAGAAACATCACAAATTGGGAGCAGAGGATACCCATCTCCCGTGTCGTAGCGAGGGAGAACGACCAGAGTGGATCCTTTGTCCTTGTTCGACTTCAAATCCGACTTATAAGATGAAACCTAAGCCAGGCGTGCGTTTGGCAATAGTACCTTCAGGTCTTGTCGCATCCTGGATGAGGGAATGGGATAAACATATCAACACTGATCTAAATATGAGGCTCATTGTCGTTCACCCACCGGCGTTCCCTGTGTCGGGGGTACCTGATGTCAGAGATGCCAACAATTCGAACCCTACCTCGAAGATGCTTGCTTCAAAGAGATCTAAACCTACAAGCGCGAATGAGATTGAGGATGATTTGCCTGCTCCAGAGCAAGAAAGGATTCTCCTTTTGGCTTCGAGACAGTACTATAAAGAGTTCGTTGAAAGTAACCTTGAATACCAGCCTAAGACCAACAACAAGAACAAACAAGCCCCCACCCCCCCTAAAAATACAGGAATTGTCTTTGGTATTGCCATGGTAGATGAGTTTCACGAGGCGCACTGGAGAGGCCCCCCTACAAAGAAGCCACTCAAAACTAAAACAAGCATTCTCACTAATCTGCCTGTAACCAACTTTCCTTATCTTTGGGGATATTCTGGTACTCCTCTAGTTGCTAGTCCTCGTGGCTTGGAACCTATTCTCTTCGCCATTGAACACAGAGTCCGAAATGCTCGAGTCCACGTGGAAGAAGCAAACTCAGAATGGAAAATGAAACCTGAACTTGGACTTTCACAGTTTACAGGAGAAAACCTTGACGCCATCTGCGCTACCTACGAAAATTGGATAAAGAATGATCTAGGCTACGAAGTGATGCCAAATCTCCGCACACTCGTTCTTCCTTTTTTGAAAAGATTCGTCATTCGAAGAACTGCTGAGTCAAACTGGTTTGGCTCTCCTTTGATAAGGTTGAGACCTCATTACCATAATGATATTGCCTTGGAATCTAATTCACGTTACAATGAGCTTTTCAAGATTCATCATGAAAGGTATGAAGAACCTGCTCAGAAATTAGCAATTGCAGAAGCTCAGGCACGTTTTCTCGGTATTCCAGCGGAAGAAAGACTCCAAAAAGGGTTGATACGGCCTTCCGCTAATTCCCTTACCTTTCCTCAATATTGGTCGATTGCGAGGAAAGAGAGGATGTTTGCTACTTTTCCGTATTTGCTACACTTTGCGCTTGCTCCCCAGGGTCCAGGAGGCCTTTCATTCGATAGAAATGAGACCAAAAGATGGAGTTTGGCAACGCAGTATAAGAACAGTTTGTACTGCCAGCATCTCAAATCAATCATAGACACTAGTCCAAAGATGAGTTGGCTGACTGAGTTTTTGAGGTCATGGAAAAGTATCAAAGCCGAAAGATTCGGAAAGTACAAAGATGTTGCAAATGAAAAGGAGATGGATATCAGAACTCGAAAATTGGTTATTGTCACTCAGTTCGATGTCGTAGCTTTGATTTTGCACCTGGTGATTAATCCCTCCTTTTCACTTCGCGTAACGATGCTAACAACGCTGCTCAGTACTTGAAAGAATACATCAAAGATCTTGGTCCTAACACCAGACTTATCCTCTCTACTACGGATCCTCGACAACGAGCCAAAGATCTCGAAGCCTTCAACAAACTGGAAGTACCAGGACAGTCAAGAATGGAAAGAGAGCAACAGACTATATATCCAAAAAATTTCCCTGAGATTGTAAACATCATCATAGGAAATGCTCAAATAATCGGAAAGGGCCTGGATCTTACTCGAGCCTCAAACCTTGTTCTCATGGAGCCAGACATTTCCTTTGCGAGGGAGTCGCAAATCTACTCGCGAATTCATAGAATCGGACAACAGGCTATTGAAACACAAAGTTATCGTCTTTGGTGTGAGAGCGCGGGAGCACGAAGATATGCAGATAATCTTGGTCCTTTCTGGGATCCATGGGAATGGGAAGGTCAAGCTGTGGAGAGGATTTTAAAACGGGGTTTGGCATTTGGAATCCCGCTCAATGTACGGGAAGAGGTTGAGGAAACTAGCACAACATTGAAACCAAGGGTTACAACATTGAAACCAAGGGTTGTGATTGACCCTCCCGTTAGTGCTTCCAGTGAGAATGTGGGTGGTGGTAGCGATCTGTTTGATGATCATAATGAGGAGCAGGATGATGGAATGGACGGAGGCAGCAGCATAAACGTGTAATGAAACCCTGTTTGTTTTTCTATTTCCTTTTTGTACCTTAATTGCTATTAATATACTGTTTTCGTCGAGACTCTCTATCCAAACTACAACTAATAAGTCCTAGAGATGCAGATACTGATACGAACTACAAGAGACAATTCAGTAGGCGATCTCTACCAGAATCATCGAATCAAAGTGGTATCGAAGGGGACTTCTCTAACCCTGTTCGGGAACTCGACGTGGATGAAGAGATACGACGAGGTTTGGTGCCAGTAGAGGAGATACCCATGAAAAAGACTGACACAGTCATGCCCCCAGAAAATGAATCAGATTCAGAGAATGAGGACTCTGAAGCCTCCGTCAGTGAAATCTCCCCCTTGTCAACGAAAAGGGAAAAGAGACTTCAGTCTAAGGACGATGAAGCTTGGCCCCTTTCATCAAAAGTGACAGATGAACCAATAACTCAGTCGAGTTTAGACGAAGAGCCTGGATTTAATGTTGGCTCTTCAACAAGCCAGAGGAAATCTCAACAGCCTAGATTCTTTCAAGGTCTATGGGGAAACAAACGCGAGTCACCAGATAACAACTTATTCTCCGCTCAGCCAAGAACGCCAAGTTCTCCAATATTTGTGGAGGATGCAAAGAAGGTAGACTTCCAACGCTTTACCTCTACGAGGCCTATCGATTCTAGAACTGGTGGCGTGTATGTGGAGCAAGTAGATGAAATTGAGCATGATGAGAAAAGAAAGCGAAGAATTCCTACTGTGGGGCGATTGAGAGACGTCAAGGTTGTAGGAAGGAATAGATTCGAGGCCGTTGGAAGCGAAAGTTCTAGTAACCAACAGGAAGCGGAGGGAGAAGATGAGCACTATGAGGGAGATAGCAGATGAGAATTTAGATTTGTGTTTCTTTTCAGGGAGGCTTACAACTTTCCGGTGTCGGTCTTTTTATAGGTGATAGCAGCGTTCTTAATGTTTGTGTCGCTTTTGTATACTTTTGTTATTAGATAATAAACCCATTTGGTCATTGAATTTGATGGTTCCTAATTTTATATGTAGAGCATATAAGATGCTACGAATTTATGCCTATAAAAGAAATATTACTTCTTACTTGTATTCTAAGCCTACCATTTCTAAATATTATTGATAATAGAAAGTTTCGTATAGAACTTAGGGGTATTTTAGTTACGTTTTGAGTATATAACTATAAGCTACTATATCTACATTTCTACGTATATAGAGCCTATTTTCCCTACCCAATATAAGCTCTTTAGAGCGTTTTTCTACTCAATTTCACTACCTATTTTTGCGCGATAGAAATCTTATGCGTATGGTCTTCGTCTGTGGATATTAGTTGGTCATTTGGCTAATCCTAAGCTGCAGGCAACGTGGTGGAGTAAAGTACATGAATAAAAGTAAATGTTTTTCTTTCCTTGGGAAGTCTTAAGATCACGAAAACAGCTGCTCAACCCATGAATGCTTGAATAATCTTACGTTCTTACGGTGCGGTCTATATTCACCTCACGCCACTAGCTAAATATTACGAATGTACAGAACCCCCAAAAGATACAGCATTCATCATTCTGCCTTTAGTCTTTCGGTATTCCAGCCATGAAGCCAGCAAGGGTAATGACTAGGTTGAAATATATAGCTAGCTTCAGTGTTGCCAATGGATGGTTATGAATGGATGGTTACCATAACCAATAGCTTATTGGTGGTTTGGTTATTAAATTCTGATCAAACCATTAATATACGGTGGTCTGGTTCTAGATTTAACTTATATGTAAACCGGTTATTTATCAGTTCCTTGATGGTTTTTGCTTAGTTATTATATACGTGATACGTTTAATATTATTCTAACATTCCGAGGAATTTTCTATGTAAATTATCCAACCACCACTACTAAAATATATGTACGAGATGGTTATGTGACCAGCTTATGTTATATCTACCAGCTACTATATAAGGCAGTTCTCCTTTAGAGTTCTAGCAAAATCTATTATTTAAGAACAGTATAACAAAGGAGAGATTACTTTAGATTGTAGGAATTAGATATGTAAATAGCTTCTTTTATAAAATATGACTTCTTAAAACTTATAGTTAATAGTGGTTACTATTAATTGACCGGTGGTTAACTACGATTACTACGGTTAACCAATGATTACCGTTATGCTATTAATTAACCACCATTTATGACGGTTTGGTTTGGTTATAGCCTCTGGCTTAGTGGTCTGATCTGGTTTTGCTATAAAATTAATGGTTAACCATCCATTGGCAACACTGGCTAGCTTCTTAATATATGCAGCGTTCGTTGCAGGATATTGGATATTCACTCACTTCCTACTAGCGCGGCACTAGTGGCACTAGCTTCAACACTGGGTATTTAATGCCCACCTGTACCTTATTTTCACAACTCAAGGGTTCTCCTCTTTCCATTCCAACAGCTTTTCTTCCAACACCACACCACAGCATTACGGTGCCAGATTCTCGCCTTTTCATTGATACCCTATCATTATGTCTTCTGAGGAAAACCCAACAGCTGGGAGCCTTTCTTCTGTCCTTTCACCGCAAGTATCCCAATATTCAAATAGGATGAGACATCTCTGGCTAATCAAGCCCCCAGTTTGCGTACTTCTGGGAAATACAGTGATATGAAGATACTCTGTGGTAGTCGTTCCTTCGATGCTCATATTAATGTCGTCTGTTCGCAATCAAATGTTTTCGCGGCAATGATGGATGGGGACTGGAAGGTTAGCTAACCTTCAACTTCGTAATATATTTCCGATTCACCAATTAACCTTTTCTTAGGAAGCTAATGAACGACAAGTGGATCTCTCAGAAGACGACCCCCATGCCGTCGGAAAGATGTTGGATTACTTGTATACTCATCAATATGACGCCGAAGAAACTGGCGCCTCACTCGTCCTACATGCCAGACTCTACGTATGTGGCGATAAGTACGATATTCCAGGTCTCAAATCACTTCGAAGCAAAAGTATCTTGAAGCGATGAAGACTCATTATCAACACGCTGGTTTCGGCCAATCTCTTGGAATTATCTATTACGAACTCCCAGGATCTCTTAGGGAGGGGAGGGATGCCGCAATAGAATTTGCAGCTGAGAATCTAGTTGATATTTACAGCGAAAAGAATAACGCTTTGCGAGATTCTCTGGATGGGAGTGGAATGGGCCATATCCTTTCGGATATTGTCGAAATCGTGGCAAAGAAGGAAGTGAAGCGTAGAGAACTAGATATGCGTACTGATGGTCTTTCATTGAGACATAACTGTCCGATGTGTGGGCTAGATACGAAGATCACTGTTGTTGGTAGCCAAATGCTTTCTAGCCCATTGGAATGCCCGGTATGTGGAATACAGTGGAAGGTTCTCCGTCAAGGCGTCTGAAATAATCAACTAGGTACTTAAGTACTACTCAAGTATTGGTGGAGTAGATTAGAGCTGGATAGTGGATTTTGCTACTTAATTCGCGTCGAGTAATAAATCTAGGTACTTAATCATACTCATAATTAAAAAGTGACTAGACTACTGCATGCAAATCAATACAGTAGCTCTTTCATCTACATAAAGCCTAAGGTTTTTATACTTAATAGCTATGATACTAATAAACGTATAACAACTACGGAGTTGCAGACCAGCACTTACTACTAAATCAATTGGCTCATAGGGGGTTTATAGGGGGGTCGGCTAAATCGGTGCGGTCGGACCGACATACCGACATACTGTACTGGACTGCCCAGACGCGCTACGGGGTCTCGGGCCGGCTTGGCTCTGTACTACTTAAATGGTACTCAGCTATTTAAGTACTTTGCGCCAAGTACTTGATTAAATATAAGTTGAGTAGGGCTGAAAGACCCTTAAGTAGGTACTACTACCCAACTCAATAACAGTACTTGAACTTACAGTACAACGCTGCTCTATTATGGATAAAGTGTATCCTGTTGCTGCGCTGATGTCAGAAATTTAATAAACACTTGCAACTTGGAAAGAGATTTTGAGCAGCTTCATTTGCCACATCTCTTAGGAAGGATACACATGGAGTATAGTTACACCACTAAATCTGACAGCTCCCACAGGCCCTCCCGCTGTTCAACACTCTTCAGTCAAAGACTGGTTATGGCCAAGTAGTTCTGGGTCTATAACCATTTGGAGTTGTCTTGAGAATATTCACTGCTTTAGATGTGGCAATTTCAATACTCTCTGTAGAGGAAGGCAATATGGTCATTTACTGTATTCACCAACGGCTTATGTTATGTATGTTTGTATTAGAGATGAATGCTATCTGATACAATTGGCTAAAACAACCCTGCTATTTATAGCTCTTGTTATGTGGGCGACTTACTATATCCAATCAACCTCCCTTAATGAAACAGTCATTTACAAAAACCACTGCCACGTGAATTTCAAAATTGGTTGTGAATGTTTTATTAATATGACGCTACTACAATTTCGTTTAACAATTATAAAAGCTTGCTTTCTCCCCCATTCTCAAACATTTTCCTTCAAAGCCAAACCAAACCAAACCAAACCTTCATGATAAGACAACTAACTCTTGTAGTAATCATAGAGACACCAGAAACAAGAAACTCACGAACATTAGTTCACCCAAATAAATCCACAAGGTTTGTTCATGCTCCTTACATTACTATAGTTCATAGAGTGTCTGACCAATTTCATGCATAGTCGCACACCAAAGTACAAAGTTTTCGACCCTTTGTACCCCTCAACACCGCGATACCCCGCACTTACCAGCAGTCGACTATGTCCTCTACAACGAAGCCAACGACTCGCCCAGTGGCCTCGGGCTCTGTATCTTCTACTACATCCAACGAATCCTCCAAGTCAAGCAGCCAAAAAACAACGGTTCAAGCAGAGCAAAAGTCAAGCACCACCTCCGCATCGAAGCACCAAAGCAAGAAGAGTATTCCACCAGAGGGATTCGAGAGATGTGATGTTTGCGGTCAACGTAGTCCTTTGGTAGGCGATCTCTATCTCTTCCTGGGGGTTTTGATCAGAAGGGATACAGTGCTAACGTTTTGACAGGACACGATCAACCGTGGAAGATGTGATGAGCCTAGTTGTGTCAGACATCCGGACTTCGCAGGTTAACGACGGTTCGATTATGGGAAGATGGTGGTAAAAGAGCTTGCTTTTGTGAGGGTCGTTCTATGAGTTCTGCAACTCTACTTTATGTTTAGTATGGATAGAAACCTCAACCTGAGCCTGATGTTGATAATGGGTTCTTTCATATCCTCTAGGCTCAGTGATATTATTGTATGAGTGGTTCGACGAGTTGCGAGGGAAGTCATGAGATCATTCTGAGTTGTTGTGGGCGCTTTGAATCACATTGCAGAGCTGTTTTCTTTTGAGGTTGGGGATTTGGGAGTCAATGTCAATATCAATACCAATTCTTCATCCATATATCAGGTGCAAGATTTTGTGAATCACAAGTACAAACGCGGAAAATGATATGTATATGAATAGGCCCCAGATCATATTCCTGTGAACTCAAAGTTCAGTGCTTACCAAGCGATGATCTTTTGTTGCAGACAGATTTAGGGTTCGGGTTACGGCTTTGAGTGGACAGACCACTGCCTCAGGTATTACCAGCGAAACCGATATTATATATCAGTACAAGTTCTTATAGTGAACAGCAATGCTCATCTAAAACGGCCCAGGGAATCAGATCCAATTGGTTCATCCATTTAGTGAGAATAAGCTACCATAAGTCTCATCTTCCGTGACATTGAAGTGAATCTTCTTCGGTATGCATTTACTATTTTCTCTTTACAACTGAGCAAACTCACTGCCATCACTTCAACCAGTATGACTGGACTAAAACTTTCACAAACAGTTTTGAAATATGTTACATGCATATACTCATGACTCAGAAGCACACATATTACAAGATTCACAGTCAGTTACGTTTTGACCGTCCCACGACATTATGGCAGATTCCAAAATGAGGCAATAGATAGTTGCTGTCAAGTGACTGTTCTAATAAATATGCTGGAGTAATCTTACTAATATGCCTCTTATGTCATACTCCTGATCGTGAAATCGTACTTCCTCGGCTCTTTGTTAACTACCGGTTTGAACAGAATAGAAGCATTCCCGTTGATTCTGGTGACCCAAAATATATCACACATCCTTGAACGGTATTTCCTGCTCCCCTAATCCAGTTCAGCCTAAGGATTAATGGGCACTATCAGAATCTGCAGCATCACGTGGGTGATGGTCAGAATGGGAATCCGCAAAGCAGTACGATGCTGTTCTCGGTACGCGCCTATGGCCCCTAGCCGTTGAAGAATGAGTAGCTCTAGCGGAATCGGTGGACAAGTTGACGCCATTCACGTTGAATCCCTCGACATTTATTGGCCCGCGGAAGCCATTACTATGATTTGAGCCGAGTGCTGGTTATCGTTTCGATGGACCGGTTGATCAGCAGTACCATGAGAACGCTGACGGTTGATACGACGGGCTCGACGACGAGTCACTATTTGAGGTTGTGGTTGTGAGAGATTAGATACCCTGCGCTCTAATTCTGCTACTGTGCGTCCCATAGCAGTAGAAGGATATCTTGTGGTAAACATTCTTTTGACTTCACCCAACACGGTCGGATTTTCCGGAGCATCTCTCGGAAATATGAAGAGGTTCCGTCCTCCTTTCTCTTCATCAAATCTCTGATATTGTCAACGGCAGCTTGCATCATCCGATCCTTCAATAGTCGATCGGTTTCTACCGTATTATCATAGACAAAAGCGATGCTTTCCGGGTAAGATTGACTTTTCAACAAGGATGGGTGGTTTCTTGAAGATAGGTAATCCATAAATTTAGATACTACTATCTCCTTCAAGGTCGGAATACCGTATTTATCGTCGAAGACATATAATGTAGTATTGTTCATGAGTGGCCCTTCTTCTCTAGTAGCCTTTCTACCGTCATCGTAGTCATGGACGTAAAAGAAACGAATCATTTGTCCGACCATTTCCGGTTCCTGTTCGGTAAGATCAATCTCGTGGCTCTCAGATTCCTGTTTTATATATTTTATTATTAGCCAGTAATAAGGAGTGAAAATTCGCAACATGGAATCTTACTCTGAAGCCGGAGTCTATGGCAGCTGTAAAATAAGGTGATTGAGGGCACATTATGCTACGGTGGACATTGAATGTCTCGCCCCTACACTTAATTTTCATGTCGCTATATTTGCCGGACTCCAGCAACCTGTTTTCATTGTCAGCTTATGCTGTATATTGAGTTTTATTTTCTCAAGCTGAGAAAGATATACTCACTTGAATTTTGTATAGCAAAGTAGTCGTCTGCCGCCAAAGACATCTCAACGACTGGATTTATGCGTGATTTTGTTGGTGCTACAACTTGAGTGTGCCTTCTAGGCTGCTGGCATTGACGCGCTATCAAAAATAAATTTGACAGAACGAAGCTAGATGGTACGATTTGCTTTCACAAGAATGAGCGCGAAGGATAAGCTTGTGGTATAGCAGAAAAGGGGACCGAAGTCGAATAGTTTCCCGCGGATGACTACGTGGATATTTGCCCCCACCAAGGTTTGTATTTGTATTGTGTAGCGCTCATCTGACCGTTCCTTAACTGGCTTATGGCTACAAACACAAATCCACTGGTCGGGGAGTCATCGCACAGTGAATATGGTAGTCTACAGCAAGCGGAGTTTGCATATGGAACTCACCTGACGTTGAAATCAAAGACCGTAATCCAACTTTATTTTGACTCAGGCCTGAGCAGAGTAGTTGATTACATGGAAACTTGCCAAAAAGCCTTGGAATCTTCATATTTTTTATATGATAGCTTTTTATTGGGTTGAAAGGGTATTGGGTACTGAAGGTCATGGAGAATTGATTGCCTTGTAAAAGGTAGCTATCTAAGGTGTTTATATAAAGAGTGTAAGGTTTAGGCAGACATGAAGCATTTAGGCAGCAGAACTATAAGTGGATCAAATAAGGAAGTGGAGCAAAAGAGAAAGTAGACCCAGCACAACACTTTTGCCTTTAAGACTGGGGATTTTTACTACATTCTAAAAATACGCCAAATTCATAAACCTAAGCCTATGTAACGCCTACAATAGCCAGCATAGGATCCACAGATTCTCACTACATATAGACAAAAACTAGCATTCCGATAACCATTTGGGAGTTTATTCCACCCATACCCATACAGCTCATCTTTCAGTAATTCTAATCCATGAAAAAACACCTCTCGAACTGAAAAAACAGCGGTTTCTTTGATGTAAAAGGTAGAGAAATAGAGAGATGCTAATAAACGCCAATTCCCCGACTTCTCCCCTAGCGACAATTTCCATTCAAGACAAACACACACACACACACACACACACACACAAGAGAATCAATCTTCATTCCCTCGTACCTTAAATCATCAATTAACCGTAAACCCTCAAACTTCTCCTTACCAGTGTCATCAGACAGAATTACAGAATCCCAACAGCCTGTTTCATCACAACTTGATTGTGATATATACATGGCTACGCTATATTTTACCTTGCCTTCCATTCCCGCGACGACGGTCAAGAGATCAGAATAGAATAAGAATTAAGAACAAGATCTTAATAAGTATTCCAGCTGAACATATAAAAACATGGCATGCAAACGAGACAGGATATCAACCTCCATCTCCCAGGGTCTGGGAGTAGTAACAGTCTTTTTACTACGCAAGTGACAGTCTTTTTACTATATAAGTAACAGTCTTTTTACTACGTAAGTAACAGTCTTTTTACTACGCAAGTAACAGTCTTTTTACTACGCAAGTGACAGTCTTTTTACTATATAAGTAACAGTCTTTTTACTACGTAAGTAACAGTCTTTTTACTACGGTACGAAGGCATTTTACTACGCAAGTGACAGTCTTTTTGCTACGGTACGAAGGCACGTGGGAGCGCCAGGGAGGGGATCTACTTCGAGTACTTCGAAGTAATTTCTACCATATTTCGAGGGTTTCGGGCCCATCTTTTAGACCTACTAAAACCTATAACACCCAGCCTTAGGAGTACTCCTACTCCTTCCTATCCAGTACCCTAGCAAGGATAAGGAGTATTAATTAAGTTCGGAATAGAATAGATAGGAGAGCCTTCTAGACTTAATAGATAGGCCTCGCAAAGGAGTATAGATAGGAAAGGACGAGAGATACCATACACTATAATAGTCTATACCTAGCTTCTAAGAGAGTTTAAGCCTAACCCGAGCTTTCCGTAAACTACCTATATATCTATATTATAGATCCTCTCCCTCCTATAACCTCGCTTATAAACCACGTATAAGTACTTAGCCGTTTCTACTTATATAGTAGTATCTCTCTCCCTCCCTATATAAGTACTTTCCTACTTTACCGTCCTATAAATCTCTCTACCCCTATTACCCCCCTCTCTCCCACTTTTATACCTATAAAAAAGTAAATAAAGAAGTGTACTTTAGTACGAATCAATGTTTAACGCCTACTAACCGTTAGTTTCAAGAAATACTATACCTACGTTTACCAGTAGGAAGGTTTTGTACCTCGGGCCGTCCCGCTAGGGAGCAGGTAGGTATTTCCTAATATAGTTCCCATAGGGTGGTCGATGCTAAGCGAGGTATTAGCTTGTTCTTACCATTTACCATGACTCGTTAGAGATAGTGACAGTGAATACTAACATAGTAGAGGAGCAAGTTTCCAAGGTGGAATATTCCAAAGGCTCTCTAATTTGGAATGGAATATTCTAAAGGATAAGGTGTGAGAGGCCAGACCTCGAATAGCTCCAAGGTGTGGTTTCGAATATTCAATTAAGAAGTGCGTGAAGACTACATACATGCAATCTCTTCCTCTATATATAGAGAGAGGAAGAGTTTCTGGAGTCTTCCAAGAAACTGTTTGACAAATACGTGACGTCAAAAGAATAGAGTAGAAAAGTGTAGAAAAGGAGAAACCAATTTAGCAGTGGAGCAATGGCCAATGCTGAGCGGGGACTTTGGTCAGTGCTTAGCGAGGGCATGGCCCGAGCCTCCATCATGGGTTCCAACCCTCACATAAGGCCTTGGAATTTGGAATTCTAAGGGATATATATATTTCACTATTCAACTAATAAGAGAGCTCTATTTGTTATAAAGTAAGGCCTGAAATTGTAATTTGACTAAGGTGAATTCGAGTGGCTTTATAATGTTTGTACTACCTGTACCGGCAGTCTAGGAGGCGCAGATACGTGTATAATTTAAGGCTCGTTTGCGCAGGGTGAATGTAAGTAGGTTTGGAGTACGTATACTAGTAGTCTGGAAGTACGTGTGCCGCCAGTATAGGAGGCGCAAATGCGAGTATTTGAGGCTCTTTTATGCGTCCTAGTGAGATGTGTAGGGGCGACATCCTAATATTATTGTTGTAGTGTTGATGGTGTAGATGCGATTCTCAAGGCTAGGCTTCCTATTGGTCGCTCGGAACGGAACTACTTTTTTGCAGATCACATGAGGAATTCCAATTGAAATTCCAAGTATTCCACCCTTTGGAATGGAATATTCCAGCACTTATACTATTTGGAACGGAATATTCTATAGGGGGGTCTTGGAATGGAATGGAATTACAAATGCCGAACGCTGTTCATACGACGTGACTTTTGATATAGAAGGTTCAATAAGATAATACTGCATATGATAGTAAGATGCATTTACGTGGTATTAAAAAAAAGGAAAGGAAAGGAAAGACACAGAACATACATCCCAAGACTCACCTTCTCTCAACCTCCTTCTCCTTCATAGAGGTAGAGAAAAGCTGGCGACCTCTCTTCGTCTTACTCCTACTATACCGCCACACCAAACAATCATCCATATGATTTACTATACTGTATTATACTCATCTCTCTCATCTCACCAGCTTCAAGCTTCAAAATTCAAAATTCGCTAAACCCCAACATTAACCCCAACCCCAATACCAAAGAAGGTAAAAGGTAAGGTAAGGCAAACAGCAAGATCGCTTTCATCCCCAAACAAGCGACCACTATACTATACATACAAAAGCAATCACGCCGTTCAAGGGAACAAAAGCCGAAGGGTAGGGTGGAAATCAGAGAAAAAAAGGTGGAAAGTTTATTGTGTGAAAAGTGAGGTAGGTAGGTAGGTATCTAGGTATCCGCGAAAAAATAACAACAGCCAACCCACCAAACACCTCATCACATCCCTCAATATCGATATCCATGAGAATATCCGCAAAGTGTAATAGTAACTGTAACTGCAACGCCATCCCAAATCTACACCCCAAACGCAGAGGAGAACCCATGCATGAACAAAGCGTCTAGCAACAATGCCCGCAAAAGAAATGCCATACCCAATGCCAAACCGTCACGACTCATTAAAAAATTTACCCCGTGTCCATCTATCTCTACGTAGGCTATGTGTGTACTCTAATGCAAAATTCCACTTATGCACATCTATCGACCCATCTTCCACGCAAGCCACACAATACCAGTCCCCAGCGCCGGAACCGCAAGAGCCGCAGCCTTATGCCAGAGTAGTCCTTCATTCATGGGATCCGTTACATCAGCCAGGTGTAAGTCCTTGACCAACTTGTCGAAATATCCAGGCTGTGATTCTGGACTGTCGTCAAAGGACGATCTTCGTCTTTCGAGCATGATTTCAGCAGGTGTCTCCAAGATCGAATCCAGATCCTCAACGACCCCGATCATGAAGCTGAAAATGTGTTGGCCCTCGGAAATGACATCTTCTTGCTCGGAGGGCGTGAGACGAAGTTCCACCTCCGCAAAGCGCTTCTTGAAGTCGATCTTGATATCCTCTCCATCCTTATCTCCAACGAAAGAAAAGAATCGCATTCCAAGGCTTGGTTCTGGCGACTCACTCCTAGCTCTCGTTTCTCCACGTTGAGATTCTTCGTCTTGGAAGAAGGGGTTGGGGGCATCTTCCGAAACAGGACTTTGAAGAGCCTCGCGAATACTATCTTCAAGAGGATGTAGAGGGCGTACAGGCGATGGATCTCGTTCCCAAAACTCGCGTCCTGCTCCACCTGCATCTTTCAAACTTTTGCGGAGAATCCTACCACCAGAGAACAGCGCCATGTATAAAACCCATGCGTATGCCAATAACACGTGTGGCTTTTCCTTGACGGATCTTCTGATGTGTGTAAGGAATTCGGCGAGGTTGCCACTTTGCGATGCTGCCCTAAGTCTGCCATTGGTTTCTTCAGTAGAGAACTTAGTCAAGACTTGTATATCCTCTCGTAACGCGCTTGACCGTAGTAGGTCTTGCATAAGTAGATAGGAAAGTAAAGAGTGAATTCTTGGGTGTATAGGTGTGGCTTGATCTGTCCCATCTGTGGAATCTGATTCGCGCTCCTCTCTACGCGTCTCGGACTGACTTTCAACCGAATGAAGAGCTTCTGGTTCGCATGCTGTTTCTACGATCTCCTGCCATAAGGACTCGAATTCGAAGTATATGGGCGCAATATGGAGGAGTCCAGAGATGTATTTGGAAGAGGTGGTGCTGTGGGGTGGGATAGCTAGAGGCAAGCGCGAGAGGATTTGTTTGTTGAGCTTGAAATGGATCGAGCGAGTAGAAGCATTAACTAGAAATCCAGTGTCAGTAGAGGTTCTTAAGAAAATCTCACATAAGCAATGTGGAGTCTTACTGCGATGTGAAAGAGATTCGGAGATCAGTTCAGGTGGGGTTGTTGAAGGAGCGGTGGGTATTTGTAGGTGGGCCATCTTTGCGATTTCGCATGGTGTTTTGGTAGGAGAGAACAGACTGCGAGAACAAATATAAAGCAGTGAAAAGGAACGACACACAGACTATGGGCTATAGGCTATGAATGTAGCTGCATTTGACTGGATGCAATACTGAGTGATTCCTGGTGTGACTGATGGACTGGCTGGTGATGGTGGTCTGTGGGGCGTAGGTAGAGAATGACCTGGTTGTCTGATACAAGGAGTGAAGTGAAGTGCAGGTGACCATAAATTGATGAGGGGAGGTTATTCATGTGCAAGGGAAGTACCATTAACACCCACCTTAGGACATTACCAGAGGAGAGAGAGCAAGAAAGAGCTACTGAGTAGAAGACTTGATCACGGTGATGGCGTCAATGAGGTCGGTGCGGTGTGTATCCCGTACCACTGACACAGTAATGCAGTTGGTGGCTTGCGGTGGGAATCCCACGATATGCTTTTTTTTTTTCTGCCATGTTGGGACTGCATGTGGAGTCTTTTCAGGGGTTGAGCTTGCCGAGCTCAGTAGGGATCCTTGGAGGGAGGTTGCCGAGTGCCGAGCACGTGCTGCAGATCATGGGGGACAGGTGCACCTGGTCCTTCATCGCTCCCCTTTTCAACCTTTGGGAAAGCCACTTGCTATGCGGCTTTGACATTTGGCTAAACGACTTTGAAGTGACATGGTTTCCTAGCTAACTTGTAGTGGGTAGCCAGGTACAGCACCTATAAAGTTAGTTCTTATCTAATTGTATAAAGTAAAATAATTCTATTATCCCGTGCTCGTATTAAGTAGTATACCTCGTACCCTCGCCGTTACCGTCGTATATCCTATCTACAAATACTCTTACTATTACTGTTATATGATAATCACACCCTAACAAATATAAAAAAGCCCTCGTCCTTTTAATTAGGTACTCTAGGACCCTTAACATCCGAAAAGTGTAGCCGAGACTCTGATTTCTTTGACTAAAATATCTTTAATTTACAAAACACTAAAAATAATAAGTATATAACATTTGGCGACGGCAAGGTAACGACGACAACGATTGTAGTATATTACTTCGTACTAACCTAGCCTAGGGCGGCTTTACAGGTACCTAGTAACCCACTGTATTTTAGCTGGGGTTCTAGTCACTTCAAAGCCGCGTAGCAAATTTCAAAATGTCAACATAAGACCATATAAACGTTCATTGTGGACAAAACGTAAGGAGGCATCAGAAATCAGAATCCAATGTCACTGCTGCCCACCAGATTCCTTGAAGGGGATACTCCAGATATGAACCCGTCAAGTAAGAGGTCTTGTTATCTATCATATCCACAAACTAAGCCTGTGTGTGATATATCATTCAAGGTGTTGCAGAATCATGATGTAGTGGCGTTCTGATACCAATTTCAACCCAGTTTCAAGGTAAGAAACCGATTCCAGTCTAGTCTCTAAGAAACCCACAATTCTATCACCTTAAACCCTCTCAAAATTCTTACTTTGAGAAGCCGTTTCAACTTCTGGGCAAGTTTCACTGTTGCGCAACTTGCGCTAGATAAAAGAACTATAAAGATGCCTATTATATGAAGATTTTCTTAGCAAAGACTCGAAATGTATAGGAGGCGAGACTACCGCTTGTAGATCAACATCATGATTTATACAATCTAAAAGCCCGATAGTGTTAACAACCGTGGGCAGCACACCTTTCAGTTACCTGCATAACATGTGCGTCTAGAGTCTGTGATCGAGATGACATTTCGACGAGAGGCTATAAGCCTTATTCATCGCTGCGAAGACACTCGTCACGACCCCCACCTCGTATTGCTTCTATAAACTACCGTATTTATCCCAGGTAAGTTCATCTGAACGTATCAGCTCCGTCGAATTATAACTTGCCGTCGAGAATAGCAAAATCCTCAAACTTCTCACCAACCTCACAAACACCCGGTGCATACCTAGCGTCTTCTCCTTATAATACTACGTAAACATTGCGTAAAGATAATACCTCACCAACCATCCAATCGACACCACACCAACATGAGACTGCTCTGTTGTGGCATCTTGTCGATTTTCTGCCCTGTGTTACGATCTATTTGCTTCTCACGAATATAAATACATCCACAGGATGGTCGGTTGCTAGCTTCTCCCTATAGGTAGTAAGCAGAAAAATAATAAGAGCGGTGGTAGGTATTTAGTTTGTCGATATGTCTTGTGTTAATCAGGTCTGGAGATCCTCTGGGAACCGTATCAGGAAATACCTGCTCCTCCCGCGCGGGACGGCCCGGGGTATAAAACCTTCACAGGAGTAGGTATTTCCTGCTCCTAATAGGAGGCGCGAAACCTTAAATCGCACCAAAGATGCAGTTCTTTATTTACTTGTTTATAGGTAGGGAAGGGGAGAGAAGGGGAGGGCAAATAGGGGTATAATAGAAGTACAGACTTACAGGGAGGGATTGAGGGGAGGGGAGGGACAGGTAGGAGGGAGAGGCACAGGTAAAAACGACTAAGTATTTATAACATAGGTGGTTTATGGAGGTAAAGGGAGGGGGAAAGGCTCTATAATAGACAGATAGCTTACGGAAAGCTCGGGTTACACTTGAACTCTCTTAGAAGCTAATTGAAGGCTGTTGTCGGCTTCTTAAATTATAATATTTTCTAGAGTACCCTCTGTCCCTAAGATCTCCACTTCTTGTGCTCGATCCCCACTCTTCTGTGCTCAATTAGGTCGAGAGCTGTATTCTCCAGATACGGTTCGCAAATCACGGCTCCCAAGTTCCCAGAGGGTAGTGCTTTACAAAGGTGAAGTTATTTGATTTGATGATTAGTCTAGTAGTGGTTAATATACGTATGTTTATTTGCGAGTGGAGAAATTAAGTCCGATGGCTAGTAAATTAGATGGCCAAGTTTGCAGCTAGTAGAGTGATTTGGCTATCACTTGACGAAGTCCCTTTTCGAATACTTCTTTTACCGATGGGCTGATAGAGATGAGGAAGTGGCGAGGACTTTACCATATGGAGAGCGAGCATAAAGCTTAATTCTTCCGCGAAAAGATTTGGGTTATGGTTAGTAAGAAATCCCATACGTAACTTTCTTCTAATTCTTCACAACGGTGTTTAGACTATCATCCAGATAAATCTAGAGATCGTGTGTACTTGCTCCTTCTTCTTGAATTTAGATGTCACTCCAGTCTCTGCGTAAAAGTTGATATCGTATTGAGGCTTGAACAAGCTGGTTAGGTGATGTGGTTTATTTGTCCTCTAAGCGAATGTAAACAATAATGCCGGTCCATACAAGAGATCCATCTCGTGCTTCATACCTCCTCAGTCTCACAAGTAATATGTCCGGCGTCCAAAGGTCAAATTTCAAGCAGCAATCTGAATATATTCTAACAGCTAAGTACTCTCAGAGCCTGACTCGCACGATTCGTAAATACTCCTATCGCTACCACTACTGCCACTACTACTGCAGCTACTAATAATACTAATAATGCTATCACTATCGCTATCGCTATCCTTGCCCCAATCCCTAGCACTACCTCTATGATCATCGCTATCACTAACAGTAAGTACTGATGCTGGTTTTGGGACGGTCTTGCGTTTTTTTTTGTAATTTGGCCGAAGCACCACCTCTCAGCAACGCTGACAAATCGGATCTTGTTAGGGGCCACTTTTTCTTGTTAGATCTTTCCCCTTTGTTACTAGGCCCTGGATTTACGATAGGAGGCTGAGAACCTAGGGGTGGAGGTTGGGGTGGAGGTGGAGATGGAGGGCCTGGGCGTTTTTGTCCTCTGCGGTCACCACCCGACGGAACTGGACCACGGCTATGACCACTCGCTAAGGGGTTACCATGAGCCCTTTCGAGATCTGGCATGGGCCACATGTGCATCGTAATAACTTATAAGCCAGTCTTCCTGGATCGTTGTTTCCCAAGTTCGTGGCAAGATGATTTCTCCGCTAGGACCAATGAGATCGTAATGACCTTCATTAACATGTGGACCTATTATTTCTACATGAAGAAAAGCTTCTTTTATCAATTCTTGAATTCCCTATACATAAGTAAGTATACAGCGTTGGCGTGATATAGCATTGTACTTACTGCCCATGTTGAACAGAGATGAAATGGGAATGTCAACTTTCTTCCTACTGCGTCTTTAAACCTGATAGGTTTCTTTGGTGAGATGTCCTTTGATGGTGTCGCTAATCCTGTTTGGATATCTGCCGTGGACTTCTCTTCATCTGTTGAAATCTTTTCGCTTCTTCTAGCATCACTCGCTTCTGTTGCTGGGGCGAACCAGAAGCTCTTTACCCCATTTATTGGGTCCAGGACTTGATATTTGTTGATGAAAACTTGGTGCTAGTTAAATGTTTGTGGCATTATTCCTTGACTGGCATTCTCTTAGATGTTATTCTTCGCCTGGTAGTACTTGAAGCTGTACTTACCATTGTGCTGTTGTGAGCAATAGCGTAATACTGCTCAACTTCAACTGCATCTGGTCCCTCAAGCTCTTCAACTCATCCTCGCCAAATAAAGACCATCCTATTTTCTGCCAACTATCCGAAACCCTACTCGCTCCTCTATCGGATCCCAGCCTTTTTTTCAACTTCTCAGTCCTCTCTAAGTATCTTCTAGTCCACTTGACAGAAGATAGGACAATGTGCGACGCTGAATTTAATGTTTCCTGAGGTAGATTTTGGTTTTCAAATATCCGGCGTACTCTGAGAAACATGCATTGTAAATCACCTATCTCAGAGAGAGCCTCTCTGTATGCTTCAAATGGACATTGCGTCCCGGATAAGGCGTCGAATAATTTGTAGCAAAGATTCGCACCAGTTATGAAGTCTCCGACGGAGAATCCAAAAGACATATTTGGGACTGAAGTTTGAGCGGGGATGGAATTTTCTTCAAGGAAGGAGCACGCCACACTATTTGTAAACTTGGAGTTTGAAGTTCAGTCGCCAACCACGACTGAAATCCATGCCACCTGCATGCAGCACACTGCACAACCGCGTCGCACAACATAAAGACTTCTTCATTAGAACTAGTGGTAGTATTGCTGATCCTGGAAACCAACAGAGGGTAATCACAAGATATGAAAATAGCTCCGTCCAATTGGTTACCAAAGTGGTATGACTAGGCTTCAGGCACTTTTACAGCCCTGGGCAAGTCCGAGGACGATATATCTGAGAAGGAAAAACACTTCCCTTCACTTGAGAATGGAGGTGCCCCACTTTTGGACGGTGACTGGGAAAAGACGCTTGAGAACTTAGGTTGAAGAACGACCTCTGTGTTGGCCGCGGCATTGCTGTTCAGCCTTGAGGGAAGTTGAGGTTGAGGGCTGAATATCTCAACCTAGTATTCTAACTCAACTTTCCGTGTTAACCCAATGTACAGTATAAGCAACTAGGTTTGATATCGTAACTTCTATATATTTTGATCTCTAATTAGTATATGTACTTTATATGAGGAAAGCAAATTTGACAAACGACCTAGTCAAATTCTAATATAATTCTCTCCATTGGGCTTGGCTTCTTCCCAACGAATACATCAGACCTCTCTTCTTGAGTTTCCCAGAAGTGTTTTTGATTTATAGCCACAATGAACTGTACTTTCGTAGCTTTATGCATCTAACCCTCTGGGGACTCGGTGTCAGACATTTCCTGACACCGTATGGAAATACCTGACACAGGCCTAAATTAGGTAGTAAAAATTAGGGATTTGAGTACTACAAGTGGGCTTCTAGGGACAGAGGGTACTCTAGAGACTATTATACTTCTAGGAGAGTTTAAGCGCAACCCGAGCGTTCCGCGAGCTATCTATCTATATTATAGATCCTTTCCCCCTCCCTTTACCTCTGTAAACCACTTATAAGTACTTAGTTGTTTTTACCTCTTCTTTCCTCTCCCTCTCTACCTGTAAGTACTTTCCTACTACTATTCTATCCTATAAGTCTCTACTTCTATTATACCCCCTCCCCTCTCTATCCCTCCCCTCCC